ACTGCCGCACCGCGCTCTTGGGGGTTATGGGGTTTACAGGGTTGAGGGTTTTAAGGGTAGAAGCTTTAGAGGGTTTAGAGGGCTAAGGCTGATTGGATTTGGGGCTTATAGGGCTTGGGGTGTAGGGTTTAGGCATTAGGGTTTAGGAGTGTAGGGGGGGGGGGGGGGGGTGGTGTGAGTTGAGGCGTGGAAGAATGCCAGACGCTTCATGTTCCTGAAGCTGAAGTGGGGATCCTAGTCTGCTTCAAGAAATATTCCTTGGTTCAGGAGCGTTGGAGTGTTTGAAATTTGGGTCTTCGGCCGATCTGAGCGTGTCGTGTCTACTGGGTTGGACGCTGCATTGACCACTTTCTGCACAGGGCTGATCATATCTTCGGGTTTAGGAAGAGGGCCCTCGTTAGATCAATCCTGGTCCTCTGCTTATGCGCCCGACCCAGCCCCCCCCCCACCCCCCCAACCTGGTTTCTGTGTCTTGCTGATGTGCAACCGTTTAGTTTTGGGTTTAGGGTTCGGGCTTAGGGAATCCCCACAACCTAGTCTCCCTGAGTACTGGTGGCTCGTTGCTCTGGCGGGTAGGCGTCCGGCAGTCATTGACACGGATGAGAAAACACCGTCGCCTGCACATCCAAGGGACTCAAAACCTTCTTGGCAAACCATCATAGAGATCCCGATATGGCTCAGGAACCCCAAACTCGAACTCCACGTAAAACCCTATGTTTTAAGGGGTAAGCATGGGTAACCCTAAACCATAAACCCTGGCTTAAGGGGTATTGGAGTCTCTGAAGATCCAGTTCCCAAGGCACGTTTCAACACGTCAGCGCACAGGCTGGATTCTAACCAAGGAACTTAAATTCGATTCCATCATAGGGGGTATACAGTGAATAATAGGGTGCTCTCGTTACTTCGTCTGGATAAGTTCCACACATGTGGTGGGTACCCCTCATCTACACACGAATACTATAATCCCTGCCGTAGGATCCCCCCCGCCAAAAAAACTATTGTGGCCCTAAACCCTAAACCCTGAACCTAAATGCTTCTGAACAACAACCTAGAAAGCGGACGCATCCCAGGCCTGATCTTTGCAGGCCTCAGCTTCAGGCCAGACTTGAGGGCTCGGAGGACTTCGGACAGTTTGGAGTGGATAGGGCTTCGGGTTCCTTATACCCTGAACCTAAACCCTAAAAGAAGTCCTGGGGTGGTTTAGGATTTAGGGGTCCGTCTTTAAACCCTGAACCCCTAAGCAACCTCAATACTTCTTATCAAGCCTACACGCAAAGCCCCAAGTGAGCCCCCTGGGTGCCCGAAGAGGTTGTCCAGGGTCATACGGTTTAGGGTTTGGGTTCTGGGTGGGGCTTTGGGGTTTAGGGTCATATAGGGTTTAGGAAGTTTAGGGTTCAGGGTTTAAGGGTTTAGGGTTGAGGAATACAAAATCAGGATCATCAATCTTCTGGTGCCAGGGGCAGTGTGTGAAGGGCTAAGGCTAGGGGTGGCACGCTTCGGCGGTTTAGGGCTTGTATGCTTCATTGAAACGCCAAATTCTGAACCCCCAAACCGGAAACCCTAAAGCCCAAACCTGCGGCTTGGGGTTTAGGGTGTGGAGCCTAAAGGCTGGGGCCGAAGCTTATCTTGGCAGCTCCACATTGCAAGGTCGCCGTCATTGCGACGAAAACCCCGCCCCGTAGCTTACCCAGAACCCCTCAAAAGAGCCCGCAAGCCCTTTCACCTGCACCTTCGAAGGGCTCGTAGGGTTTAGGGGTTTAGGGGTTTAGGGGTTTAAGGTGGCTTTGGAAGCGAGGGTTTGGGGTGTCTTGGAATGGGTTCGGTGCTTAAGGCTTAGGAGGCTCCGCAGCGCGGAATGTTCAGGGTTTAGGGTTAGGTTTAGGGCAACCGGCTCTCTCCGCCCTCATCAGCCCAAGACCTTTAGGGTTGAGAATTTTTGGGGAGTCACTTGGGGTTTTCGGGGGTTGAGGGGTGCTAATGCGCGCGATCTCGGCGGTCCGATCACGCTGTCCGAGCCAAGAAGTCAAGCGGAGCTCACCCTCATCAAGCCCTCACTCAAAAGCATCTTGGGCTCCCGGAGCTAACTCCAAGCCCACCCTAAACCCCCATACACACACCCTAAGCCCTTCCTAAGGCCTAACACTAAACCCGTATGCAGCCTCAATCCTGAACCCTAAATCCGTCAAGCCGACCCTGGATCCCTAAACCCTCTGCAACTCGGTTGTTCGAGCGAGGGATCCACGGGGAGCTGAAGGACTTCGGAATTTTGAAGTGCTGAGGGTTTCGGTGCGAAGGGATGGATGCGTCTGTGCAGCTCAAATATTTCGGCGTCCTAGGTTGGGGCTTATGGGCTTAGGAGTTGAAGGCAGTTTAGGGTTTAGGGTTTCGGGTTGTGGGTTTGAGGGCGCCGGATTGAGTGGTCCTGACGTAGCCGCTGCTCCAGCTCCGCACAGTGCTTCCGGAGAAACTCCTCTAAGGCTGTGGGAGTTGAATAAGAAAAGGCTTAAGGTTCCAGGCTTAAGGTCTTTGTTAAAGGTTTAGGGTTTGAGGTTTTAGTTTAGGTTTAGGCATTAAACTACATGCAGTATTTCCATTATGGTATACTTCTGTTGTAGTGCATCAATTATAGTAGTATATTGCAGTACGTTGTAGTATATTATAGCAAGTTACGCCATTCTAGCATGTTTTCGTGTATGCCCGTATCTGATACATGATAGCGCACTCATTTGTGAGCGTTGTATTTTGCAAGTTATGGGCCTTTGTTGGTACCCCAAACAAATGACCACGCAAAGCCCATAACTTCTTAGAGTCTCCTTTGGACTCTGTTTTATTTTAGGTTGCATATAAAGCCCAAGGGGGGGTCGAGTCGACGCCCTAAGCTTAAACACTACAGCCCTGACACCTCCAAGGCATGAACCCTTTAAAAGTTTTAAAAGGTTACGGGGCTCCAGTAGGGCCAGCACCCTGCACCCTCAGATCCTCCTCGTTCCCTGTCTGGTCGTAGCCCATTCCCGACCTCGGCATCTTAGGGTTTCAGTTTAAGACTTAGTTTAAGGTTTGTTTAGGGTCCCTACAGCCCTAAAGCCTACACCCGTTACAGGGGTTTAGGGCTGTAGGGCTCCGTTTGTCGGGCTTCGAGTTCGAAGGATCCCAAAAGCCGCTCATCCGGGGCCCCCTCAAAGCCCAAACGTTAATTAATGGGTAAGGCTTGAGGCCTTGGGGCTCAGGGAGTTTCAGGGCTGTTGGCCCTGTAGGGGGTTGGGGAACTGAAACCCTAAACCATCACTAACCCCTAAGCTCTAGCACAGGGACTAAGCGACACACCCAGCGCCACAAAGGCGGCGAGCAACGCCGGCATGGGGGGCCGGAAACCGCCAGTAGGGCAGCTTTAGGAGCTAGGAGGTATGGGGTTTGGGTTTAGGGCTCAGGGTTGTTTTGGATGACTCCGGGCGGGCTAGGTTAGGTAGCTGAGGGTAGCTTCGTCTTGGACTGTTGGTCCTTTGAGAAGCCTAAACTCAAAGGTCTGTGGGGTTGGAGGTGGAGGACCTGATATCACCACGGAGCAACAGGCGGCTTGTGATCTAGGTCTCTGGAAACTGAAGGTTTGGGGTCTAAGGGTTTAAGGTTGAGAGCTCGGGGGTTGGCGACTACCCGGCTGCGCCTTGAGCCATCCGAACGGTTGACTCTAAACCCCTTGATCTTAAGAGTCCTAGGCTTGGTAGTTCTGCAGCTTTCGGATTTGAACTCGCAGTTCAGTATATGCGGACATCAGTGGCATCTGTCACCACATTTTGTCTTCTCCGAGAGCTCTGCGATCTTTGCCCACCAGCAAAGAAGACACCATGCGCCCGAACTCGAAGCAACAATCACACAACCTGCAAACTGCAACCAGAAAGCCTACAAATCCTATACATAAAGCCTATAAAGCTATAAAAGCTATAAACCCCTTTCAGAAAAATCAGAAAAATGAGCTCGGCAGCCTCAGCGAGCCACGACTTTGTCGGGGCAGGGGGAAGCAGGCACGTCAGCAAGTCACCTTCCGCGACGTCGGCCTGGCCTACTTGGAGGTTCATGGTACTTCTTAACCCAACTAGACCTTGCACGTCTCACCAAACCAAAAACCCTATTAGGATACTTAAAGGAGAGATCTACATGCCCAGATGTTTGCCCGAGGGGGGTGCGGCGGGGGTGGGGCTGCACCACGCACCAAAAAAAACGGGCTGAGTCCATGACAGTGCATGTATAGGTCATGTGGACAGTTATCTAGTCGGGTACCCTTTGCAAGGTCTCTATTCATACTGCAAAAAAGGGACCCCATGCTCTTCAACTCAAGCCGGGCTGACCGAGCTTCAAAATCCGTGTAGTGAAACTTGTTGGCAGCCTCCAGCAATCTCTACATGAAGACACATATATATGCATGAGTGTATATATACAGCCATATAGAGTGTTTTTATAAATAAAGAGAGAGCGACACACACGCACACACATGCATATACATACATATACATATATATATATATATAGACATATACTTACATACATAGACAGCCTACATACCTTCTGCATAGGATGAAGTAGCTTCAGCCCTGTACACCCCTCTGGGACCACGGAGCATTAAGAACACTGGCTAACTCCTGGGCTTTGGCTCCTGACAGCGCCGGAGCACTCAACCTTTTTCTCCCCAGCACTGCCCGAACTCTGACAGAACCCCAAACCTGAATCCCGAAACCCTAAACCATATCTATGCCCTAAATCACCCTAAATCCCATGAACCCTCAACCTTGGAAACGCTCAACCCGCAATTCGAACTCCGAACCTGGAACCCTGAAGTCGAGACCCGGCTTCAAGCCCTGACGCCCAAACCTTACCAAAACCCCAAAACTCCGACACCAGGGTTAGCAAACCCTAGGCCCAGACAGCCAAACTCCCAACCCTAAAGCCCTAAACCCTGCACACGAAACACCGCGAACCGTTGGCCTCTTCACCGCCAAGGTCACACATTACTTCTGCCCCTGTGCAGGTGAGGTTCCGGGCTCACGATTTTGATCTTTTTGATCTTTGGGGCAACTGGACAGCACTCACGACCCACGACATGGCCCGAGCTTCTTCCTGCAGCTGCTGCAATCTAAGATATGAGTAGTTCCCCGAAAGTTCCGTTTGGGGAGTACGGCACCTTCTAAACAGGACCCTCAAAAGGACCTAATATGGAGAACTACCCGGAACACCGTCCATACAATGCCGTGGTGTTTGAGTGTACTAAAACGTACGTTTTACCTGGGTGTTGGCAGGATTTCTAGAGGAGGTTTAAAAATCAGCAAAAAAACTACTTCGACTTATACTCAATTTGGGGCTTGGGGTTACTTGACATCGTACTTCAGCAAAAGGCATGGACGCTGGTGACAGCTTTTCTTGTTCCACATCCTTGCGCAGAATGTTGTACAACGAGGCGCAAACGCGGTATATAACAGTGTTTTGGACATCGTTGCAATTGTCATGGACACTTGATGACAACGTGTCCTGCTCCGCATCCTTGCGCAGTATTTTGTACAAAGAGGCGCCAACGCTGCAAATACCAGTGTTTTGTGCATGGACATGCATGGACGCAATATGAATGACGTTCTTATCCCCCCCCAAAGCCGAACAACAGGAAAAGTGCAGGAAACATGGGAAAAAACACAGGAAACACTGCGGCAATCTACGGCCCGTGTTCCAACTACCCATATGAGTCTGAGCTGCTTACAGCCATCGAGACCACAAAAGCTCTGTTAGCCCGTGGCCGGCCTGGCAGCTTGTCAGCACAAGCCGCAGGTCAGCGATGGAAAGCGGTACTTTGCCTGCTTCCTCCGGCTGCGTCGAGGCGTCTTGAAAGGTTCGGGGGCAGGGGGTACAGTCTCGCAGAGGCTAAGGTCAAGGAAGCAGTTTCTTCAGGTTCTGCTGCATGCAACGTCCCACGCAAACCCTCCAAACCCTATAGACCCTGAACCCCAACCCTAAACCGTAAACCGCAAAACCCAAACCCCGAAAGCCTCGCCTAAACCCTAAACCCTAAACCCTAAACCCCAAACCCTAAACCCGATAGACGCTACAACACCCAGACCGCGGGCTCCTTCTGTTGTTGCGGCCTCAGCTCCTGGGCAAACTTCCAGATGGCGAGCACCACCTCATCGGCAGGGCTTAGGGTTTAGGGTTTCGGGGTTAGGTGTTGGGTTTGGGGTGCCATTTTGCGGCGCAACTCCTAGAACCCCAAAACCCCTGAGTAACAAAAGCCACAAAATCCTAAGCCCTGAAACTGAAAAACACCTAAACATGCCTAAGCCATATAAGCCCCTAAACTTACCCTGAATAGGCTCCGGGCGTCGTTCGTGCTGTTCTCGCTCCAGAGCCTGCCGCAAGAGCTTCAGGAGTTGTTGGCGGGTTTGGGGTTTGGGGTTCAGGGCTTAGGATATAGGCCTTGAGGTTAGGGGCTTAAGCTTTTTAGGATTTGGGCGTCTGGTGGGTTCTGGTGGTTGGGGGCTTTGGGGTTCAGGGCGTTGACATTCGAGTGCCGGAGTTTACGGACGGCTCCGGTAGAACTGCACTGCATGCCTGCTGCAGGACTGCTGGCCACCCCCCTACACCCATGCGCCCCTAAACCCTAAACCCTACCAACCCTAAACCCTGAACCCTCAACCCCTCTCCGGCCTGCACAGAAGCCGATGCGCGGTCTCCAGGAGCACATCTGCCTGCAAGGAGGTGGAGGCGGCCCATGGCAACAACCCTAGGGTTCAGTGTTTCAGTTTCGGATTTAGGGCCAGGGTTTAGGGTTTGGGGTTTAGGGTGCACCAGCCACGAACCTAGCGCTAACCCGAGCTACGCAAACACCCGAAACCCCTCAGCCACTTGAACCCGAAACCCGCCAAAACAAACCCAACCCCCCTATTCTACTCCCCCCCCCCCCCCTAACCCCTCAACCCCCCTAAATAAACCCCTAAATCCCCTACACCCCCTAAATCCCCTGAATAAACCCCTACACTGAACAAACCCCTAAACCCCCTGAAACTCCTAAAGCCCCTAAAACACCCCTGAACCATCATAAGTTGCGGTCTCCTGTGAAAGCTCTGCGCTGAGGAGTCCGACAGCCAGCCACTCGGCCTCGCCGCGCATGGCTCTGAGTGTTTGCTGCAGTTTGAGGGGGCTTGGGGGGTTTAAGGGTTTAGGGCTTAGATTCAGGGGCTTAAGTCTAGAGTCAAGGGTTTGGGGGGCTGAAGGGCTTAGGGTGTTGAGAGTGTATAGAGAACCCTAAGCCGTAAACCCCGAACCTCTTTGTGGGCCTAGAGTGGCCTCTTCCAAAGACAAGGCATTGGCTCCTGCTGTAAACTGGGCCGTGCCGTCGTCGTTTAGGGTTTAGGGTTTAGGTTTTACATGCTCAGGAGCCGGACCCAATCGATGTTTCCACTTCCATCCACGTCAGCAGCCTGGCGGAGATTTCTGCCAACAGCTCTTTACAAATCCCAATGATCATCTTGCCTCTACAAATGCCGCAAAACGTCATAGCCTTTCCATTTTTCTTGTTCAACCCGCATTCTCCGAACAGTTTGGAACAAGTCTCTGTTTGTTGGGCTTCCTGTTCCTAATACTTGCTTCTCCTTTCGCGTTTGGTCCTACAACTTCAATCATTCGTGTAATGCCGATCCGGTGAAGACTGATTGGTATAGTTTTTTCGATCGTCTCCCAGTTTGGGAAAGTCGTCGCCGAAGCGACTTCAAGAAGCTTTCAGGTGGTATTGACGCGGTTGACAAATGTGGAGGACAAGCCTAAACGAATCTTTCGTAATACCCTGTATTGGAATGCTCATGCATGATCACGGCCAAGGTATGCAGCTTCAAGCCACCACAAGGCGGGATCCAGATCCAACATGAGTGCAACCCTCGTCAGTCACAGAAGTAGCAACACAATCGCCCCGATTTAGGCTGAGACCATACTCGCATGAAATTGTGTCTGTCACGCTCAACAGCTCGTTTAATCCCCGAGTGTGCCTTTGCTGCTGTGTTCAGCTCGTCATCCGACACCTGGCACGCAGCTCAGTGCAGGGGACAAGGGCCTTTTGGGATAAGCCACGAGTACTTTGCACTCCCCTCCCTTCAACTGAATGCCGAACCCCACACTCTAGAAGCGATCCCCCAAACCCCGACACAACCTCCAAAACAAAGCTCCCCTACAAATGAAACAACCCCTTAAACCAAACCCCTCGAAACCGAACCCACCTCCTGCCTCCCAAACAATCTGCGTCTAAGACCTACTTGTTCGTTAACAAGGGATTCGGGAAGTAGTGCCGAATTCCTTTAGTTCCCAGTTTGAAGCTGGGCTTGCAGATGGAGCGTGTTGCCTGAGGCCTGAAACCTCTCCTACGCACGGGCTTGTCGAGGGACCAGCGCTCAGGATTGTGGGTTCAGCGTTGAGGGCTGAAGGTTTGAGACGTTCGGGGATAGGGTTCAACATCGAAGTTGTTGGGCTTCGACTTGCAGGGTTTTGGCTGTAGGGTTTAGGGTTTAGGGTTTAGTAAGGGCTTCAGAGGGCTAGCCTCTGCTCGCGGAACACCCGCAAGCTTCCTGAGGCCTTGGGCGAGAGAAGATCCCCTAGTGTCTGGGGCTTTGGGGGACCCTAATCCGCCGAGCCGCAACCCCACCCCGCCCCCAACCCTAAAGCCCAAAGCCCTGAGCCCCAAGCCCTAAGCCATACTACTCAAATCCCTATTGAGGCATATGGACGATAACCGTTTAGGGTTCATTTGGTCCCCAAGGTTCTCTGCTAAAGCCGTTGAGTCAAAATTTTACGTACCAGTAGTTAGGTCATTTTGAAGCCTTTGGGAGGAAGTCCTGGTAGGAGCCATTTGCACAGGAGCTCTGGCTGCGCTTGCGATTTAGAGCCCGAGGCTTTAAACGGGTTCCCTGCAACTTGAAAACCCCAACCTGCCGAGCCGAGACTTCCTCTCTCCCTTCTCGGTTAGTTTTTGTCTTCTCAAGCATTGCAGGTTTCTTTTTTTTTTTTGGGGGGGGGGGGGGGGGGGGCGCGGGGGTGCCACCTCCACCTTGTCGGCCGGAACAGAAACAGTTGCAGGGAGATACACCACACCCCCAAAGAATCGACCCTCTTCCTCCTACAAGTGATCAGCAAAGCGAGGGGAAAAGCACTCTGGCGAGGCGAGGTGCCCCTGGGCAAGGGCACATCAGGACCAAAGCAAAGAGCACGTGTGGCCGACGCTTTGAGGTGCTGGGGAGGGTGGTCCCCAATGAAATAAGTTCTCCTGTCACGAGCGGCAGCTCGGAAAAATACACATGCGGATCGAATCCGTCTCTCTCTCTCTCTCTCTCTCTCTCTCTCTCTCTCTCTCTCACGTCCTTATTTCTAGACTTTAAACCCCAAAAAGACCTAAACATAGCTCCGAAACTCAATATCCTAAACCCTCACATGCCCTGGAAAGCTGCAACCGACTCGGAGCGGCACCAGACGTGAGTTCCTCCATGCCTGGCCAGAGTCTGGGTATGGGGGTTTCCGAAAATAGGGGTACCTTTTTGGGGGTCCCTTTAAGGGGATTCTATTCTATTTGGGGTATAGTTAATAATTAGTAGGGGTACCCCTGCTTTGGGACATACCCATATGCCAAAACGGGATACCCTTCAGCAAATTTGGGTATTTGATTCCCGTCCCGTTGTTCGGGAACCTCTCGTCCGAACTGGGCTGCTAAAGCAGGTTTGATATTAACCCTAATCCCGAACCTGTGACGAGAAACCACTTCTCGTGATGTCCATGATGTTCGTAGTTTGGGGTAAAGATGCTGCTTTCGGTGTTAAGGCGCACCAACGGCCGCCCTCGCAGCCTTCTTCACATGTGTTTACAACTCTACAGTAGCTCTTGCCCGCACCGAATCACCGAAACCCAATTGCGGCACCGACCTGAACCCGAAAACTCCAAACCCCAAGCCCTCACTTCACCAAACCCTGGTCCCGTAGCTCAGAGGAGATCAAGGCAAGGCGGCAGCACTGAGCACTCCGTCAGAGTCCTGGCCGTGGCTCCGAGTTGAGGGTTCAGGGTTCAGGGGTTCCCCCACCCTTGTAAGTAGCTTTGCAGAGTGGACAGCTGCATGAAAGCCATGCAAGAATCTGCAAGCAGAATGCCTGGTCCAGGCCGAGAAAGAGCAAGCGCCAAGCGCTGGGCTGTGGAAGATCGGCCTCGACATCGCCCGCAGACGGCCACAAGGGGACCCCTAAACCCTAACACCCTCAAGCTCTCCCTAAACCCTAAACCCGAAAACCCTAAAGCTCTCTAACCCGAAAACCCTAAATGGCTAAACCCTAAAACCCTGAACCGAGAACCCTTAACGCCACGATGTCTTCCGGCGTCTCGGCATGACCCGCCTCCGTGGCACCCAGGGCACAAGTCAACAGCGCATACCTTCCCGAAAAGCCAGGTTTTGGAGATTGTTCAACAAAAGTGGGGGTTTAGGGCTCAGCGTTTAGGGTTTAACCCTTTGTGGCGCCCCAAACTCTAAGGAAACTACTCTCATAGAGACCCAACAATCAATGATGTGGATACTAGACAACGAATCGAAGTTCGACCACATAAAAACAACCCTATCAACCCTACACCGTCACCCTGTCATACATGCAAATCGCACAAAAAGCCAAGAAGCTTCCAATCTCAGACCGGACCAAAACCAAAGAGGGAAACTCGAAATACACCCTAACCCTCAAACCCTGGAGTCCCTGGAGCCCCAACACCCTGAACACCCTAAGCAATAAAACAGTCATCAAAACTAGAGAAACAAATAAAAGTGTATATATATATACAGGAAGTAAAGCCAAACACATAAATCAGAAGCAATGTGTTTATGTACATAAAAACAACGTGTACAATATGGATAGTTCTCTGCATTAGGGTCCTTATTGGAAGTCCTCATTATAAGGAAACCGAATTCGATTGGGACCCAAAAGAGAACATTGATAACAACCCACAATAATAACAATACCAACAATAATCATAACATAAAACAATAACAGGCACAATCATCATGAACATATTCACTCCTTTGCTATTGCAATATTTATATACACACGTTGTATTTGTATTCATTTCTTATTTGAATTCATTCATTTCTTTGTTTAAGTCAGTAGCCTCTGCGGATCCTCAAGTCGCTGCATCTGCCGCAGCAAGCGCACCACGGTGACCGCCTCGGACGGGTTTTTGGGACCCTAAACCCGAACAAAACCCGAAACCCTGAACCCTAAATTTCCACCCGACCTTCTTAGGCCGTACCCACCCTTTCTAGGGTGCCTTGACCCAAAATTATACCCGACGGCTCGGAACACCTTTATAATTGGATGGACAAGGGGGTGGTACCATTGGAGAGTTTTCGAATACAGCCCCTAGAGCTCAATAGCGACAGGAATACTCCGTGCCCCACACCCCCCGCCTCCCCTCTGTTGGATTTGAAGACGGCAGCCCTACAACCTAAACGGCAATGGCTTTGGGTGGTTGCCTGTAAAAGCTCACAGCGCGGGGGAGAAAGAAAAATAGCACCAATGAACATTGTTGGACTGCATTGACAACAGATGCCCCCACACCCCCGGGTGTGTGCGGGGCGCCATTTCCACATCGTACTTACTGCCGCTGCGCGGCGAGACGCCCTAAACCCCCAAACCCCAAATCCTAAACTAAACCGTTTTGGGGGTGGCGTAGGCTCAATGGTCTTTACGTCTTCCGTAGGGCTGTTTAAGTGATCTAAGATCTTCAGCGGGTTTGGGCTAGGGTCTGCTGTAGCGCTATTTAAGGGTTTCTGGTCCACGGATTACAGTTCAGGGGTTTAGGGTCTACTTTAGGGCTTCAAGGGTTCACAGTCGTTTCAGGAGCCCTGCTGACGAAGCATGTGTGCCAATTTCACCGCCTGCGAGAAGCTTATGACCGTTACTAGCAAAAGACGGCAGGGAACAATCGATCAGCTTTCCAAAACCCTAAACCCTACACCTAAACCCTGATAAACCCTAATTCAACCCTAAACGCTAAACCCTCAAACTGCGTTTAAACCTCCCGAGGATGGGGCCAGCGTCTCGGGCTCCTCCTCATCCGGAGGCAGGGACATCCTGGGTCGGTCTCAGGGCTTGGGCTCCATACCAGGTGTCTTTTTTCCGATGACTTTACTTTTCTACATATTATATATATATATATATATGGTCTGGTACACTCCGAAATGTAATCTACAGGGACCCTCGAGCAAGGTGAGGGACCCTGTCAACGGCCCTTGATCCTAATCCCTAGAGACTAAGCCGTAAACCCCTATTGGCCCTGAATCCTAAACCCTAAACCCCAACCTAAGGGAAGGTTATGCATTCTGAGAAGCGCATAGACTTTGGGCCTGTGGAGTAAACATTCAGGGCGAAACCCTACGAGTGCTCTCTAAACAACCAACCTTCGCAACCCTAAACCCCTAAATCCTCTGAACAGTAAGCCCTCTCACCCCTACGCCCTGCACCTTCTTATCCAGGAAGCCCTTAACCGCCCCCACCGTCAGAATCTCAGACAAGAATCAAAACCGCAACCCCCTGTACCCAAATGACCCTCTGTCTTCCAGAGACCCGCAAGGCAAACGACATCTAAAATTGTCAGGTCGTTTGGCTCCACGCCTCCGGGCAGCAAGCAGCCACTCGTGCTTCTGGGCCTGCCAAGTTTCACCCGTTAGGGGATTCTTGGGATGGATTTCGTAGGCTTGGGGCTTCTCGGAGTTGGGTTTGGGCTTCTGGGGTTTGGGTGGGTGGGTGGGGGGGGGGGGGGGGGGGGGGAAATTGGGGCTTGGAGCCTACTCACAGAGGGTTGAGGGTGCATATAGGGCCTTTCGAGATTAGGGCTTAGGGCTTTTCAGGGTCTCAACCATTGACAAACCCGAAAAACCGTTGACAAGTTGAGGCCCCACCCTCATTAAACCCTAAACCCTCTAAACGTTATAAACCCCAAACCCTAAACGCTAAACCCGTAACCATCAACTCGAGGACCTTCGAGGGGTCTGCAGTCGGAAGCACAAGATGCCCTAAACGGCAGGGTTTAAGGTTTAGGGTTTTGGGTTTAGGGTTTAGGGCAGGACGGCATGACCCTACAAACCCCGGAACCCCAAACCGACCACCCCCCCACACACCGAAAACGACACGAAACTCCTTACCACGCCCCTTAAAGTCTCAAAAACCCTCTAACAGAGACCCGAAACCCTAAACCCTAACCCCTAAACCCTGAACCCCAGAATAAACGCCCCAGGAGGAACCGAGCCCACGAACCTGCACACAGGTGAGGCGTTTGTCTTCGCCAAGGACCAAGAGCTTCCGGACCAGGTCTTGCCCTGGGCTTAAGCGGGGTTAGGGCTTCGGGCTTAGGGCTTAGGGTTTAGGGTCTAGGGGTTACCCCCAAGCACCAAACCCCGAACACTCCCCTAAATCCCAAACGCTACACATATACTCCAAACCTCAAACTCGAAACCCTGAACCCTAAGCCCAAAAAAACCTAACCCCCCCTGACCGTTGGGTGCCAAGCCGTTCTCAGAAACTTTCAGCCAGCCCGGGCGCTGCGTCGCAAACCTACGACGAGGGCTTTTAGAGTTTTTGGTCAGGGTTTATAGGGCTCTTGAGCGCTTCAGAGCTTTGCGGTGTAGGGTTTTGGAGCTTTGAAGTTGTGAGGGGCCGAGGTTTTGACCCTGAGTCCTAAACCAGTTGCCTGCGGTTTGGGGTTTAGGGTTTAGGGTTTGTTGCATGCCCCCCGCAACCCTATAAAGCACACAAAGCACCCTGAACCCCAGTAGGGCCGCCACTCACCCGTCTTGATCTTCTTGACAGTGTCCTCCCAGGAGTCTTAGGCTTGCTTCAGTACCCTAAGCCCTAAAAACCCGAAAAACCTAAAACTCTAAAACCCTAAAAACCCTCAGAACCGTGCATTCCTCTTATGTGGGTTTAGGGTTTAGGGTTTAGGGTAAAAGTGCCCTGAATGCATCAGGCCGCAGTAAGAGAAATACCAAACGAGGAGACCACAACTGGGAGGACTGGGCATTAAGTTAGTTTAAGGCTTAAGGACCCCGAACATCCCCCCCTGCCTGCTTCGAGGTGTCTTTGCCGGCCCTGAAAGGGTTTGTGCCCGTCCTAAGCCACGATTGGGTTCTGTGTGTGTGTGGAGAAGAGGTCAAGGACCTTTCAAAACCTCATTTGAGGAAGGTAGCCCAACGCCGTAGAGTGTATGCGTGAGGCGTCCCATCGCGATGTATGCGCGGAGGTGCTGAGGCACCAGCAGCATGACATAGAGAACCACACCCAGAGACCTTGCAGAGAGCATACACCAGCAGCGACACGGACAACCAATCTGCCCTCAACCGACCGAGCCTGACAGCATGGGTCACAACGAGATGTAAAAGTAGTCTGTGAGCCGAGCCATGTATCGGCTGGAAGGTCTGCACCCTTGCGCATGTACACCTGCCCAACAGCAAGGCAGGCTTCAAAGGGCTGTTGGCCAAGAAACCCTAAGCCCTAAACCCCAAACCGTGTGGGCAGAGCAACAAGGGCTTTTACAGCAAACCCTGAACCCTAAACCCAATATGAAAGGGCCCCGAACCCTAAACCCGAAGCCCTAAACCCTAAGAAAGCCCAAATCCTAAACCCTAAACCCTAAACCGTAAACAAGCGCATCACTGCAGAGAGCCTCGGGTGCAGTGTAGGAGAGCGTGCCGATGTTGACCATGGACCTGCAGCTCGCTTCAGGATAGGGGTTTAGGGGCAGAAGGGGTTTAGAGGTTTCGAGGTTTCGAGGTTTAGGATTTCGGGTTCAGGGGTTTAGGGGTTTAGGGGTTTAGGGGTTTAGGGGTTTAGGGGTTTAGGGGTTTAGGGGTTTAGGGGTTTAGGGGTTTAGGGGTTTAGGGGTTTAGGGGTTAGGGGTTTAGGGGTTTAGGGGTTTAGGGGTTTAGGGGGTTTAGGGGTTTAGGGGTTTAGGGGTTTAGGGGTTTAGGGTTTAGGGCCTCCGAGGGCTTGACGATTAAGCTTCTTTCGGCTTGGCAGCGTTGATAGGAGGATTTCAGCTGAGCGGAACGCCTTCATGAAACCTGAGGGGGGGGGGCACTTACCCAAAATTTCGACGAGGCAAAGAGACACAGAAGGCAACAACAATTATTGAAATCAAGACCCTCGCCTCTAAGCCCCGAAACGCATGCAAAACCCTGGACAACCTGAACTGTAGCCCTGAAACCAAAAAACCTTCCACACCAGGAATTAGGGTTTGAGGCTTGGCGCCTTAGCCAAAACTATCCGAAGCCCAAACCCAACGTAAACCCTAAACCCTCCCCCAGATGGCCTAGGCTTCTGGTCCGTAAGCAGCATGGCGGTGCCGAAGTCACAAAGCTTCAGGACATCGGCCTCTTACAGCTTAACGTGGGGTTTAGTGCTTCGGGTTTGTGCTCAGGGCTCACTGCCGCACTGCGCTTTATGATTTTGGGCTAGCCTAGCAGTTCCCGGACCTTGGCGTCCTAAATGCCGCATGAGTTGCGGGCTACAAGTACGAGGATTCAGGGCTTCTTGTTTAAGATCAAGAGTTTAGAAAAGTTTGTAACTCGCTCACGCGTAGTTGCCGCGGAGTTCGAGGTCTTCAGACGCTTACCTGAAGCTCCTAGTGTAATTCCTTTTCGGGTTCGTTCTAGGGGATTACCCTCAACCCACAAACCCTGAAACCCTAAACCCTGAACCCTAAAACCCAAAACCCTAAAACCCTAAAACCCTAAAACCCTAAAACCCTAAAACCCTAAAACCCTAAAACCCTAAAACCCTAAAACCCTAAACCCTAAGCGCCTGCGGCTCGCCGGGCTCCCCGTAGACCAGGAAGTTCTCCGGCCTTTGTGTGTTAAGGGGTTTAGGGTTTAGGGTTTAGGGTTTAGGGCGGATCCCCACGGAAAATCCCTACCATTCCCTACCTCATCCCTCCAAATCTTGAAAGGTGCCTGAACTTTCCTCCCCTTAGAACCAGATATGAAGATCATATGTTTACTTACTTATATACTCGAAAGCCCAAGCCCTAAACCCTAAACCCTAAACACCCTATGAATTCCTGAGGAAACTATAGTTGAGGGTGCTTAGGGCTGAGGGGTGCCTAGGGGGACCATAGGGCTTAGGAAGGGTCGGGGAACTCGGGATGCTTGAATCAAGGAACTAAAGCAGGGACCCTTCTTAGGGACCCTTGGGGTTACTGTATGGGCTACTTCGGTATGTAGGGACTGTATCAGGTACACACAGGGGTTATGTAGGGGTTTTTTGTGGGGGTCCCTCCTTCTCTCCCTGAAGCTTGGGAACCATAGGACTCAGGGATATGGATTCCTATGCCTCTGGGATGCTGGCTTTATGTCGCGGTGCACGATCCGGCGACTGTGAAGATAGCCCACCGCCCACAGCATCTGCCTCCGAAAAGCGTGCAGTCCAAGCTGGCTTTTGTGAGTTCTGCAGAAATAAAGCACAGACAACACATACACATATTATACATACACACATACCCACCAACAAATGATGCTTACGGACCTCCCTAGATAGTTGTTGCACTGTTTTGACGTGCACTCCTGCAACCACCGGCTGATTTGAACTTGGCCTCACAGACACCCGAAACCCTACCAGGACCCTAAGCCCCAAACCCAAAATAGTGCCCAAACCCTAAACAGTGAAACGCCCTCATTCCCCTCAACCCTGAACCCCCCCCCCTAACGGAGAGACCGCGCCTGAAGAACACTCGAACGTCCTCCTCCAGCAGGCCGTGGCCGCCGCTGTTCTCCTGTCCAGGGTTGCTCCAAAATGGCAACTGCCCTAAACCCTAAACCCTAAACCCTGAACCCCTAAACCTGGTTCATTCTGGACCGCCGAGGAAAGGGTCACATGAGAACCTCGGGCACTGTTTCGGGCAAAGAAACTCCGACTTGGAGGTTCATGGGTACCGACAACCTATAAAAACTGTACTTATAACCTACGAGAACTTACTTTGGGGGCTTATGAGTGCAGTGACAATTGGGTTATAAGTACCCACGAACCTCCAAGTACCCCGAAAGATTTAGGATTTGGGGTTTAGGATTTGGGGTATAGGCCCTTATGGATGAGTACCCATTGACCCGAGGCCCAGAACGACCCGCCGCCTCCTTGATTCGCCTCACAAGCAAGGCATAGAGCTCGCCGCCCTGACCTGATGCCGCATGGGCTTGGGGCTTAGGGGCGTTTGGAGTGTGAGGGCTTAGGACAAAGGACACCGAGTGAGGGCTGCGAGGCCTATTTTTGACTTAAGGCTTTTAGGGGCTTATAGCCTGGCAAGGCCCCCATAAAACCAACCTCCACCCCAAGTGCTCCACCCTGAATCCCAAACCCCCATAAATCCCGACATTCCCACCAATGAACCCTCCCTGAATCCGCAAAAACAACTAAGCATCCTCCCAAACCCTGAAATGGCTTTGAACGCCCTGAACCCCAAACCCCCTAAATCCCCTAATTAAACCCCTAATCTGAGGTCCCCGCACATCTCCAGAACGAGATGCAGATCGGACGCGGTCTGGAAGCTTTCGTGCATCCTAGGCCCGGGGGAAGCTCGGGGGGATTTCCACCTGAACCCTACTAATCCCTAGGAGGAATTAAGCTCTGGAAGGATGAGGGGGTGAGGCGTGTCGACACGAGGCTGAGCGCATGGACCCAAGCATAAGGTCTCCTATCCGAGAAAGAAGACTGCGTTTATAGGGAGAAAGTATCATAGCGGAAATGCGGGCAATCCTGCAAACCCATCATGTTGCTTGCGTCAGGGAGCAGACGGCGGGAGGCATGGAAGGAACTTGAGGTGCCATAGACAAGTCATATAGATCTTCCTTGAATCGTCTTTCGGTGATGGGGAGCTTTCAATGGTGCAGCCTATACATTGATGTGTGTCGGTGATAACGTTTCAATGTTGGGGTGGGGCTTGCTGCGACGAAGCTTTCGATGAGTCATCTCTCCAGGCTGATCTTGATGTGAGTTGCAGGAGCCATGTTCATCATTGCTAGTTGCAGTCCAATATGTGCTCTCCGCACAGTGGTGTAAACAATAGACGTTCTCGGCTTGTAGCGTCAAAGACCTCAGGCCTTCCTAGTAGATTCAGCGCTTCCGTGTATGAGTGTATGTGTCGCAAGCCCCATGTGTGAGAATCTTATGACGGTTCCCTGATGAATCTCAGAACATCTGAGCTGTGTCGCCGTTCGAGAAAGCACGATCGAAAAATGTAGAGCGAACTTTCAGTACTCTTCTGCGTCATTTCATCTGAAACGATAAGGCTCAGGAGCTATAAATGATTGGAACCCTAAACCCTACATGCTGATTTAGAGAACCCCCCCCCCTTAGAAGCCCTATCTGGATCCCGGCCGGATGATCTGAGGATGATCTAGGCGAGACAGCATGGCCTCAAGTGTGGCAGTTCAGGGCACATGTCTCTGAGACACGAGGGTCTTGAAGACTTGCAGGAGAGTCGCGATGGGCCGCGCAGAAACTGGCACAAGGAAGGTGCTGGGATTCGAGCATACTCGCTGACGAAGCTCGAAAACTTTCGCTTGCTTTCCTCGCTCTCAATCTTGGCCTGGCAGTCCAACTACTGTACCGCTGCTTGATGAATGAACCGCGCGGAGCCCTAGAAAATCCCTCATGGGCTCCCCGCATGTGTATATAATATATAATATATGTATATGATAATATCTTAAACATGTTACAAATGTTAGCACCAAAGCTGAACAGCGACTCACCGGGCAGCTGAAGTGACTCGACTTGCCCTGCCTGCGGGGAAGCGATCGGCGAGCCCAACGAGAAAACCTGCCAAGCACTCTTAGCTGCAACCTTCTGTACAAAGCAGGGTTGATGGGATTTGGCCATTTGCCAAAATGGGGGGGGGGGGGGGGTACCCCAAATCTACGCCAAAAATACGAGTATTCTGGGAACTTCAAGGAAGATATGCCTTCATCTTGGGGAATCTCATTCGGGGTTTAGGGTTTAGGCTTGCCATTTAGGGCTGAGGGTGTTGGGTATCTGGGTCACACGGAGACCAGCCTTGACTGCCACGGTGCGGGCCTTGGCGGAGGTTGGGTGGGTTTGGGGATTAGGGCTTAGGGTTTGAAGCAACTGCACCCGAAAACCCTGAATTTTCAGGCTTTCCCCGACGTTGGTCCCGAAGTCTTTGTGCAGTCCAGAAATGATTCAATTTCCTTTCGCAAGGCCTGGCGTGGCTTTTCGGCCCATGTCTCAATTTACTTACACTCCATGTGGTAAGGTTCTCTTAAATCGAGGTTCACGTAAATCAACTGACTGGTGATATTTGCGGCGAGGTTGCAAGGGGCCGGTACCTATGAGGCTGTTAGAGTGTGTGTTGGAACTTGCCTTGTCCGCTGTTGAAGATTCTTGATAAGGTTGTCGATGGACTTGAGGCTGCTTGAAGGCTTGGTGTTTCTGAGGGCGCTTGTGAAGATTCTTGCAGGTTTGCGACGGTTCTGAATAGGAAGGGGAAAAAAAGGGGCATCCAGGGATCAACACGAGAAGAAGAGCTAGGGATGCAGCCCCTTGGTGCAAACTCCGTGGGAGCCAACTTCACCGGCGAATCCGAAACCCTAGTTTGAGAGGGGTTTAAGGGCTAGGATTTGGTTCAGGGATTTAGTGGTTTAGGGGGTTTAGGGGTTCTCGGGGGCAGGGTTTAGGGTTTAGGGTTTCGGGTTTGACCCGAATGGCCGAAAGAGTAGGTCCGTGGCTTTCGCACCCGCCGGAGAGTTGGCTGAAGCCTCACAGGGCGTCGGTCTCGCAGGCTGTTCCATATTGAGCCCCGTTACTGTCTTTGAGGAGACTTCTTATGGTTCAGGGTTTAGGGTTTCTCCAACAACCCGGAACAGCCATGGATGAGAAACCGAGCCTTGTGCACGTTGCCGAACGATCCCTCGCCTATCTGGTAGCCAAGCTTGTAGATCTCCTCGAACCTGCACCGGGCTGGGCAAACCATGCGGCTTTGGGTTTACACATACTCAGGGCCTTTCGACCCCAGGGGTTTGGGTTTCGGGTTTCTGTTACCGTAATTAAACTCCTTTTCCCTGAAACCCTTTGACCCCCTGAAGCCCCAAACTGGGAAGTTCCACCTCCGGTCAGTTTGAGGACGGCTGTGCAGCTTCCGCCGGCAGCCTGTTCATCCAAACGCGCGCTCACGTGCGTGGGATTTAGGAATTTGAGTTTTGGGGTTCAGCCCTTAAGTCCCTAAACCCCAAACCCTAAACCCTCGCAACTCTCAAACCCTCAACCCTCTCAACCCTAAACCCTCAACATCCCTCAACCCTCTCAACCCTAAACCCCCTGCACCCTGCAAACCCTCTCAACCCCCAGAAGCGCCAATCCTCAAGTTGGGGCTTGGGGCGTTTCAGCAGAGCTCCAGGAGCCCCTCGCCTTCCAGGATCTCCGTGCCCATGGGCGCAGACCAGGCCTCTGTCTGTTTGTGTCGTTTGGGGTTTAGGCTTTAGGACTTTAGGGTTTAGGGTTGGGGGCGTGGGGGTTGGAGGATTGCAAGGGGTTTTTTGGGGTTTTTAGGGCTGAGTTGAGGGTTTAGGAGGACATGGTTCGTAAGGCTTCCAGTCTCGGAGCCCTGCGTTATCTTCGATCAGTGTCACTGCATCCCTGGCGGCGGAATAGGTCACTGACATTGGACGATCTAGCAGCCGCCAAACAGCCGCCAAACAGCCCAAAAGTGGCGGCACCACCCGATCACGCGATGCTGTTCCACGAGCTCCAACACGCCCTGAGCAGGAAGAAGCAGGAAGCTAGCGGACATGTTGCGGAGAACCAGAAGACCTGTGCACACAATCGACTGCAACGGCCTCCCTCTCTGATGCTATGCAGCAGTGCTGCACCACTTTTGCAAGCCTCACAAACTGCCAAGAACAACCAACAGCTGCACGTGAAAGCTGGAGCTGAGGCAAGCACGAGCCGCTGCTCTCACCAAACCCGGCATCAGAACAGGGAGTTGTGCAGCCCAGCAGGAAGCTGTAGAGGCCCGACTGGAAACCTAGCTGCAGCTTTCAGAAGCGACATTTCGCAAATGTCCGTGCCATGTTGCGACCTCCAGCCGGGAGGCTGGAATCCCGGGCATTCACCTGCAGCTCACTCGGCCCGTCTGCTCGGAGCAAGCTTTTGGGGTTTAGCGGCCACGCTCGCGCGCGCGCTCGCAGGCGACACCGAGGACCTGACGGCCTCTGCGCTGGACTGGCTCGGCCTTGGCATAAAAGCGCAGCGCGTTAGAAGGCGGTCTTTCAGGCTTGCACGGCCTGTAGGGCCTGTAGGGCTCTTCGGGCTGAGTTTCGGCTGTAGGGCTTCCAGTGGCTTCAAGGCTTCACGGTGCAAAGTGCCCCCTCTGCTGGGGGCCAGACGCCTGGCCCATGGAGGCATCTACACGCAACTACACATCAAGAAGAAATACACAGGGACATGCGACGGGAGCGTCGCCGAAAACCCTGAAGCCGAAAGTCTCCACGAGCGCTGCAGGATGGGCCCTGGCACACATATGGCTGTATGACCGTATATGAAGCATGACATGCTGGCAAGCATGGGCGCGCGCGGACTGCGGACTTTTGTTTGCCAAGCCCGGCTGCTCTCAGCCCCAGCTCCGGGAACCGATACAGACTCTAATACAGACCTATTGAGCCAAACACGCCCTGCCTCGAGCCACTACGTTGCGCAATGCGTGCTGCTTTCATAAAGAGAAAGCTCCCTAAGATCTTCAATATTGAAGCACGTTGTCACCACAGCTCTCGCTGGACTGTAGTTGGTTTCGCTCGTGCAACATGTACGAAAGATGGCGATCTGCTTGTCTCATGTAAGCAGCTGTATCGCGCATGGGCTTTGCCGGCTTTGCCAAGGCTTACATCCGTAGACGCGCTTCTCATTATTTTACCGTGCCGATGCGTGTTTCAAGCCACCGACTTGGGTCTGTGGACCTCCGCAACAAAGGCTTTCACGACAACCAGCAGACGGCGCGCAAAGGATGTCAACAATGCGCCTCTGCAACCGGCCTCTGAAAGAAGGCATCGTCTGTGCGATGGCGTGGAATGCGCGCGCTCGCGCCGGAGAGCTGCGGACATCAACATGTCAACAGTGCTTTGCAAAAACGTGCCATGAGCCATGGGCTGACTGGTCTCCGGCATGTTCTGGCATCCTGCTTTTTGATCACTGGCGATCTCGTTCCATGCGCATGGCGATGGTGGGTTCGATAAAAGATGGTTCATGCCTTGCAGGCAACAAGAAGTGACGAGGTATTCTTTTCAAAGAGGGGCGAGCCCCACAGAAAAAAGTGCTCTCACAAGTTGGCTTCAGCCCCGGCTCCCAACGGCTTTTCTGTGGGGCCGGGCGTAGCACGTCCCAAGTGTCCAGTCTGAGGCAAGGCCTGTGCAGGCCTCTGCCACTTTGTGAAAGAAGCTGGGAATTGTGACACGAGGCTGCCGTGCTTGTTGCTGGAGAGCAGAATTTGCATGCAGGAGAGCCGCTTGAAACTCTGGCGCCTGTCTGTCACACATATGCTCACACCCTCACATCACACTCTCATCTCACAGCACTGCACTCCCCATTCCTGCGCACTGTCAGCCATGATGCCATGCCGGTGAGCCCCTGGCGGACCCCGGCTCCCAACGGCTTTTCTGTGGGGCCGGGCGAAAACGTTGCCAGGGGGCCGGTCTGAGGCAAGGCCCGTGCAAAGCTCTTTAGGTCTGGCCCTCAATTGGGCAGAAGGCCTCCAACGCGTTTTTGTGGGGCCGGGCGAAAACACGAAATTGGGAAATCGGGCGCACGAGGCTGCCGCCCTTGTCGCTGCAGAGCAGCTTTAGACTCTTGAGCCATTCGCGTCCTGTCTGTCACACATGCTCACGCTCTCATACATCACACTCTCATGTCATACAGTAGCACTCCCCATTCCTGCGCACAGCCATGCCATGCCGGTGAACCCCCGTGGCGGACCCCGGCTCCCAACGGCTTTTCTGTGGGGCCGGGGTACAATCTTGCCAGGGGTCGAACGGTCTGAGGCAAGGCCCGTGCAAAGCTCTTCAGGTCTGGCCCTGAATTGAGCAGAAAGGGGGGGTCGTGTGTTGGACTCCAGCCTCGTTCAGGAAAGCCTCGAAACTAACATGACCGGGAGGATGAAGCCTGGCCATGCCGTGCGAGACGCAGCTACGGAACTGTCGTATGCTTCCAGCACGCTTTGACCCCTCCCTGGATTTCAGTTCAGCCCAACTGATAACAGCAACAACTGAAGCAGGAGCTTGTCAGCTGAGTGGAGTGATGGAAGCTCCGGACAGCCCTAGCCCTAGCCACGAATTCAAGATTGCTGCACCCTCGTTGGCACTTGGATGCACTTGGTATCTGAACCATCACACAAGCGTCGGAAAAAGCCGTTCTATCCAAATGCAAACCCAGATCCCCGGCTCGTCTTTAGCTGCGTACACGATTGGCAGAGGATGCATGGAAACGTGCACTTCCGGTGAGCTTCAAATGGATTTGTTTGGAAGGCATGCTCTGGGCTTGAATACTGTGAAAGACCAGCTAGCAATGTCGATGACCACCTCGACAGGTGCCATATAATATCATATAATACAGCAGAGAAGGCATGATCGACGGGCGATCTTGCAGGGAAGCCTTGAGCAGCACAAGGAAAAGCAAAAAGACAAAACCACGACGGCTAGTAACTCATGTGAGCTCATCAATACAGTTGACACTTGAAGGAGCGCGTTTGCTCCGGCCGGCCGGACAGCCCCTGGTGGCCCCAACCCCAAACTATCCCCAAACTCAAAGCGGAGAAGCGGAGACTGCATGAATCATGGCTGGCGTAAACAGTTGCCAGAGGCTGTTTCCTTTACCGGCAAGCCGGCGTGTTGGACGCCAGCTCCTCCCTGCCCTGTACGGCGAACTTGCATGAAGCACGCAGAAAGGGCCCGCACATCGAGGCGAGGCCAGAGGATAAAGCCTATGCACAGCACAAAAACTTCAAGACGTGGCGTAAAGATTCCCTTGAACTCTAGGGAACCGTTGGCAGCCAGCGACAGCTACGGCTAGTTACAAGCTCAGGTCAAAGAGCAACCCTGTTTCGGACGTGAGCAAGAAAAGCTCCGCGCGAACCCTAGATGCAAGCTACAGCTTGCTACAGACATTTGGTTGCACACCATACATCTGCTCAAGATCTACAAGCGCCATCGCTGAGCCAATGCATGCTGCCGCAAACGGCCGTTCAATGGGCTCTCTTGCTTGCCACTCGGTGGATTTGACACGTGTGCTTGGAATCTTGGAGTTCGCAGTGCTCGTGAAGCCCGAAGAAACGGATTTGCAGAGGATGCTAAAAAAAATGCGCAAGCACTTCTAGCATGGGCCGTTGAGGGTGCGCTATGCCCATTGGGGATGCACACCGAGGAAAAAACTAACAATGCCGGTGGGTTGGGTCAGGTAATCCGAAGCCGTTGTCTGCAAGGTTCTGGGTGCAAGGCACGATGCCCCCGAAGCCTCCCGCCACTCTGCATTCGCGGCGTCGAGCAATTGACTTTGTAACGGGCAGCTCGACCGTCAGCCATTCCCATCTGGTTTTGGGGCAGCCGATAGTCTTGTGGCAATACCTGGCGCCACATGGTCGCCAGCCGCACCACCTGAGCTCTGCACAGCTCAACACATCTGGTCCAAGAGATGCAGTATGTTGCCATGTTCAATGACAGCACAGACAACTTCCCCCCCCCCCCTCCCAATCCACCCAGCCAACTTCTCCCCCCCCCCCTGCTGGGCTCGATGTCTAGCCAGTTTTCTGCACCGTGGGGATGGTGAAAAGAGGATGAAACACACCAGGACACTTGACGCCACAAGGGTACCGGACTCGGCAACGGCCCCAATAGGGGACCGGCACCTTTTCCTTGTGCTCCTCCATGACGGGGAATGTCGTCTTGTATCGGGCCCTGCAGGGCTCTGCACAAGCGCAGGGATCTGCGCCCACCTTCTCCTTGAGGGCATCGTACATGCTCGTTGCCAGCTTTGAGAGGCCGCTGAAATCTCCACGGAAGAGCTTGACCAGACCTTCCACGATCGCCTGGAAATCAAGCTTCAAGCGGAGGGAGATCTGCTTGCTGAAGATGGTCATATCGGTGCCGAGCTCCGCAACACCGGCCTTGAACTGCAAGAAGAACTTGCTGAAGCGGAGCGAATTCCAAACATCTAGGAACTCGCAGAGATCATAGACCTCCTGGCTCGTCTTCTTCACCGCGTCCTTTGCGAAGTCGTAGAGGGGCTCGTAATCGAGGGAGATGTAGAACTCGTTCAGCGCAAGCGGCGACAAATCGAGGTCCAGCCTCACCTGGTAGGATGACAGCGGGCTCTTCAGGGTCGCGTCAAACTGCACCGCTTCGGCCGAAACTTCCCACTTGATCTTGCCGGATGGAAGCAGCTGGCTCAGGAAGGGCGCTGCCCCGACCACAATGTCGGCCGAGGCCTCTCCAGCGAACTCAAACGTCTGTGGCGAGAGGGTCAGGGACACTGCTGGACCTGCTTTGTCTTCGGAGTCCAGCCCGCTGGGCAGGTTGCTTCCGCTGAAGCCCTCCCCAAACAGCTCAGCCAGCTCGCCGTAGAGATTGCTCCACGCCTGCAGCGTCACACGAATGGAAAGTAAAGAAAGCAAAAAAATCACCAAAAAGGCGATCGAAACTCGGCACGCGGGACGTGAGGGATGAGGGAGAGCTCTCCCTTACAGCGGCTCAGAGCCCCGAGCCCCGGGCCTCTCTGCCCACGCTTGTTGCCTGCACATCCAGTCCGTTGCACTTGTTGTCCAGGGTCAAGCCAAGACAGCCCTGGCTCATCACTACTTGGAACTCGAACACGGTCCGCGCGAGGCTTGCATCCACCTTTACCATCAGGGAGGTGCCAAGCACGGGAAGCCCCACTGCGGCAACGAGATACAGCTCGACGTTCGCGGGCTCCAGCGCGTCGTAGCTGAACCGGATCGCGAAGGGCCCGAACTCCCCGAAATAGAACTCGCCCATGCTGTGGATTCCATCCGGTAGGTCATAGCCGAGGGCCGCCTGCAGAACCATAGGCACCGTCATGGCTTGGTCCGCGCGGGTGTCAATGTACATCGACGTCGGGGCGCCTGTCACAAGGTTGATCTCCAGGCCCAGGTGGGCGAAGATCGTGGCGCACTGCCTCAAATTGACGCAACTCAATGACTCAACTCTGCTGACCTCTCACGACAGTTCAAAGCAGGCCGTGGCGCTACATCTACTCGGTACCGTCTACACCTGTCGACATGTCCGTCTACTTGCACCTACGTCGCTGTCTGCTGTGCTACGAACAAATCCTGGCATGCGGCGGGCTCTCTGCACATCGGTCTTGCGCAGCCTTGCCCGCATCGCCGCTTCCGAGTTGAAGGTCCTTGTCTGCCGACATGATGGCGTGGGCTCGCAGGCCCAGCGTGGCCAGCTGCAGGAGAGGGTCGTAGCCGATGGACAGCGTGAAAGGCTCTGCGACCGGATCTGGGATGATGAGGCCAATGCGCTTGCCAAAAGGCAGTAAGGTTGGTGACCTCATCATGAGCTCACCAAAGAAAGCCCCTGTGGGGGATATCTCCAGCGTTCCCGCGAAGTCGAGGAAAGCCTCCTGCGCGCGAACTTCAGTTCGTCCGTGTCTGAGACATTTAGAAGATAGAGTCGAGAAAGGGAGGGTTGGCATAGGAACGCCCATTCGGACCCTGTTTGGCGGGTCCGATTGGGTAGTTCCCAAGGGTTCCCCTGAATTTGGCCCGACCCTTCGGGACCTTCCTTTCGGACCCTTTTCCCGGAAACACCAAAAGGAAACCCGGCGTCGCCCGGCGTCGCCCGCCCCTGTGGGGGCAAGGTCCGAAAGGGTCGGGCCACCCTTCCGGACCCTGTTCTCAAGGACACCGAGGGTCACCCTTGCGGACCCCTGGATAACTCGAGGGTCTCTTAGAAGAGTAGTAGAAGCTCTGCGACAACTTACTGGAGCTAGAATTGTGTCGTCGTACATGGGTTGAAGATAGCCGCGCAGCAGCCGCCGATCGAGTCCATGAACCTATCCCCACACCACAAAGCTCTCCTGAACTTGGAACTGCAGCGCCGCAACGTGAAGGCTCAACTCAACCTGGCTTGTCAAATGCTGTGGGATGCTACGGGATGCTGCAGGATGCTGAAAAATGCTGAGAAGGATGCTGAAGGGTGCTGCGGGGTGCTCTTATGTCCGGGTTTTGAGCTTGGAGGGAATCCCGCCTGCGTTGTCACCCCGAAGGACACGGAAGCGGATACGCTGCCGCGGAAGGCTTTGAGAGTGCCGGTGCTGAAGCTGAACTCCGGCGCACGAAGGCCCAGGGAGTAGGACACCCCGTCAAACTCAGCTTCCAGTGACACCTGCAGGGCTTCAGCAGCATTACCCAGATTCGTTCATCTTGGCCCACTTGTCACACCAGACTTCTGTCAGAAGATAAAGTCTCTATGAGAATGCGTCGTCCTTCCTGAAGAAACTCCGGTTCTGAGACAGCAAGAAAATGCAAGAAACATGTGTGTGTTTGAGCAGCGCCGCCTGGTCCATCCCTGTTATCTTCGCAACCTCATCCAGCGCAGAGCCTCTCAGCACCTGCATGGGAAGCTGCAAGGCGAGCTCCGATCTGAGAGCGTCGGGCACCCTGTCCAGGATCTCCTGCACACCCGCCACCTGGGTTCCGACTGAAGCAAGCCCCACTGAGAGGCCGCTGTCGCCCTCGCTGAGGACTCCGGAGAGTTCCGTGAGGTGGCGCAGGACTTGTGGCCCAGCCGGGCAGTACTGGATGCTCATGGGCTCCACTCCTCGGGAGCTCATCTTCAAGAGCCACTTCCACAAGTTCCAGAACAAACCGTTGGGTCTGACTTGGGCTATGCCAGTGATGGGCCACAACCTCACTTTCAAGAGCTATCCGAAGCTTTGCCAAGTGGCCGACGCTCACGCCCAGCAACTCCTCGAGGCCCTTGGCCTCGGCAGGCGCATGTTCAAATTAACAGTTGAAACGTCACCGTGGCAGGTGGTCACCGGGGGTTTGCGGCCCCAAAGAAAGCCTGGAGATCTTGCCTTCAACCAGTTCCTCTTCCCTGGTCCCCAATATCATATGTGCAAATTCCCATGTCGCTTATGAAGATCTACTCTCGATCTTCTGCGATATGATCTTCTCTGAGCCCTCCCCCCCCCCCCCGGACCTCGGTGAAGTCCACGTCGCCGATGAGGCAGAGCCCTTTCCCCGTGGCCAGCAGACCGCGGAAGGCGACCTCACCCAAGCGGCCCTCCACCCCGACGATGAAGCTGCCTCTGGGAGGGCTTTGGGAGGGCCTGTTTTTTGGATGCTTCTTGGGGGCGCACGCATCTCTTCTCTAGCTGCTGATGACTCGGCCAAGAAGCTGCTCGTGGCTGCCTTCCCGCTCGACGTGCTCGAGCTGCCTGTCATCCAGACCCTGTCCAGCCACAGCGCGTCGAGGCCAAACTCCTCCAAGGGCCCGAAGCCTTCGATCAAGGGCTTGGAGATCTCCATGGAGCCAGCCAGCAGGAGGCCTGACCAGCCACGAAAGACGCACGCATGCCATGACATTGGCACGCGCATACTGTGCATACACAAGCTTCCTGCTTCCTCACTTCTAGTTACAAGCCACGACGGAGGCAGGGAAATCTTCCCCAGAGTTGCCAACCCACCGCCAGGCAAGGCAAAGAAGTCGAGGGCCTGTTGCAGGATCGCCCGAGATCGTCAGGTTCAGCTCGGCAATGTCAGCCACGCTGACGGTCGTGGAGCCCATGACCGAGAGGCCATGCACAGAGGACGCAAGAACCCTGACATCGAGCGAGCTGATCATGCTTTGGCCTGGCAGGAACCTCTCAAGGTCCAGCTGACCTTCTACCTCGGCGGAGACGGACAGGGGCTGCTCCTTGCGGCTGTCATAGTGCCTGGGACCGGTGTCCGTGATACGAGTGTGGTACATACTAAAGCAATATCAAAGGGATGCTTTGGGAGCTCATGGCTGGGATGCTCCTCAGCTACGATCGGACCAAGCTGCAGAAACAGCTCCGCCTCAGGAAGGCCCCAGTCCTCCGGCACGACGTTCACGACCTCTGTGGTGTTGATAAGGACGTAGGCATCGCCGATCTTGGGAATCTCCACCGTCACTGCCAGAGCTGGGAGGTCGATGGTGCGCTCCAGATTGGGAAGCGGAACCTGAGTCATATCATCGTCCATGCCATGAGGCTCTCGGACGTCACGGAGTCAGGACAGACATGCGACCCTGCACTGGGCTGCCTTGTCGGCAAGCCCTGCTAGTGGCTCTCTCTCTCTCAGCTCTCACCTGCACTCGGGCGCGGGCCGCCATGTCGATAAGCCCGGAGAGCTTCCAGCCGGAGGGGTCGGCGAGCAGCTGGCCCTGGACCTTCTGCAAGATCGAGTCGTCGCGGAAGCGCGCGTCGACGTGGGCCAAGGCGCTCCAGCTGGTCTCCCCCCCGGCTTCCTTCTCGAAGCTTGCGGCAACCAGCACCTGCGTGGCTTCTTCTTGGTCGGGTAGCCGGGGCAAGAGGACCTCGGCGCACCCTGCAGCCTTCACGGAGAAGTCGCCCTGGCGCCCGTCGTAGGCGGCCTCCAAGGCAACCGCGGGCCGGACCTGCGCTCAGGGCTTTTTTGAGCAAAACTCGCGTTCCGCAGGTCCTATGACTCTGGAGCCTGTGCCGTATACAGAAGATTTCAGCGGAGGAGAGGGGAAGAAAACCAAAAAAAAAAAACGCGCACTTGAAGACGGCCTCCGCGGAGCCCATGCGCGGAAGCTGCCAGGTACCCCCAGCACGGCCGGCGGCGAAGATCTGACCCTGGCTCAGCGCTGGGAATGATTCCCGAAGAAGATGGGCTCAAGTTTAGAAGGGTTTTGGGAGTATGTATGCTCTCCGCTCCTGGCTCCAGGCAAAGCGAAGGTCCAGCGGCTCCAGATCGAGGTCTTTCAGGAGATGTCCTCGTGGGCGCTTGTTTGGGGGGGGGGGGGGGGCAGGAGAGGGCGCCGTGCTTCCGTTCCTTTGTTATTTCCCCTCCCCAGAAAGACCGTTTCAATACGCCCGATTAAGGATATGAAGGCCAAGGCTCCCAAGCCGAGGCTGGCCCGCGCCTTCACAGACAGGCCAGTCTCGTTGCCCTCACCGCTGCCGCTGTAAATGAGATACGCCGATGCTGAGAAAGGAAGTGATCCCAAGCGTGTGTCGAGGCTCACGCAGGCGTGAATGTCGCCAAACGTGGTCTCCAAACTTGCATTGGAGTCCTCGGCACTGCTTTGCGGGTAACTATAGACACCATGCGACACCGCAACACCCCTCACTGCCAAAGGAAGGACATACTGCACGGGCTTGCAAGGGGGCCTGGCGATAGGTGCTCACGGAAAGGATGAGTGGGTCCGCCCTGCCCAGCTTACCTTGAAGCTCTCGGGGTAGTTCCTGTCCAAGGATGAGGCTGCGTCAAAAAGGCTGCGATATCTGGTGGCTATTGGTGGCTCACTCTAGATCTCACGCGTGCGTCTCACTTTCGCGGAAAATAGCGACTCTCCAGTGCCTGCAGCACCGCGGCAGGGTCCAGCACTGCGGAGGCCTTCATGTCAATCTCGCCGGTGGATGTGTCCAGGAAGCTCCGGACCTGCAATGCCCAAATGTAAAAGAGGCTTGACAACCTAGAAGCTGCCTAAGAAGCCGCAGCCACGCGAATCTTGAGGCGAGCTGCTTCCACTGCGCTGATGCCATCGGCCCAGCGACCCAAGTAGCTTCGCATGGAATCGCTCGTGTAAGAGGCTTTGCCTACTGCCTGCAAACCCCCTGCGTTGTCGTAGCTCATCCTCATCGACACATCGATGTCCAGGGCTGGAATGGTGGCTTCGATGGGTCCTGCAAACTGCACTCAACTCACGGTATATCACTCTAGAGACTACTGTAGCATCAGGCTGCTTCAGGCAATAAGTTGGCAACAAGGCATCTTCAACATCGAACATCGCTCGTGGTGCCGGATCCTGTGATCACGGACAAGCTTAGGTGCTTCACGTCGACCTCCACCATGGCCTCAAGAGGCCAGGAGACTTGGAGCATCTCCGGACGCTTGCGCATGTCAAGGGAGACGCATAGCGGGAAGTAGCTCCATGACGGCGCCGAGTCAGCTGAGCCCGTGTCCGACAGCCTCCTCACTGCTCGGTTCGAGGGGTTCCGGGTTCGTTGGGACTGCCCAGCGCGCCACGCGCTCAGCCGGCGGTGGCGCTGGGGCCGGGCGCGCAGCCGGCGCGCGGGCTCCGCGGGCTCTGCGGGTTGCTCGGGGAGGTCGACGTCCAGCTGCTGGGCTGCGACGACGGCGCGGAGCAGCGCGAGGTCCAGGCGACCCTGAAGGGCCTCGGCCAACAGCAGCTCCTGGCCAGCCAGCGCCTCGCGGGCGGCGGGGGACAGGCCGAGGGTCTGCAGCGCAGCATCCAGGATGCCAGCGGCCGCCTGATCCACGGAGTCCGGCGGCAGGAAGATCAGCAGGACTTCCCGGAGATCTGCGGGTGTGGCTTGCAGCCGCGCCAGCCTAGATCCCACGGCCTTGGCCGTTTCTAGGTTCTCTGCCGTGACAGCCTTCACCAAACTCTGCGCGTGGGCTTCAGCGAACGCCTCCGAGGCGCCCAGCTCCTGCAGGAGGCACTCGACAGATCGGGTCAGGAAGACCTTCTCGTCCAGGCCGAACAGGTGGGCTGCCTCCACAAAGGCCTCGAAGCCCGCCCCCGAGCCGAAGAGCTTTCCCAGCAGCCCGTCCAGCTCGTTTAAGTCGCCGAGAATGTCCACGGAGGCCTCCACCGACAGGAGCCGCGCGACGCTGGCCTCGAGCTCCATGGCCAGGGGCCGGCAGATCCTGACAAACGTTAGCAAGTAAGAAAGACCACCCTGAAGCACGGGACTCCACAGGTTCAACAGGCTCAGCAGTCTTGGATCCCGGTCCTTGCGTCGATGGCCAGGGTGCGGACCAAGGGCGCAATCATGTCGGCTGCGCGTGAGCTCGAGGCTCCGAACAAGTCGCGAGCGAAGGCCACGTCGATTTCGAGCTTGAGTGTCCTCTCAGATGCCGTCATGCGTGTAACTATAGCAAGACAGCTGCGAGAGGGTCCTGATCATTCCTGCTCAATCAAGGGATGAGTGTGCTGGGCAGGACCCCCTATACCTCACAACTTACACAACTTGCAACAACGTGCGGCAACAATGGCAACATCAGAAGGAGCTGCGGAGCACAGAAGGTGCAGGGAAACGGTCCTGTCCACGGCCTCCCGAAGGGAAGCTGCATCGAGCGTGCTCACCGACTCCGCAAGCGCCAGGTCCATCTCGTGGTGCAGCAGAAAGCCTTCGAGAACTGCGCGAAGCAGCTGGGTACCTGGAAGCTCCAACGCAGACGCGATCTCTCCAAGAAGGCCAACATCCAGCTCGCCACTCATGAGAGAGGTCAGAACACCCGACATCGCAGAGGCAGCTGGCAAGGTCAGCCCGGAGGTCAAGTTCGCTGCTCGTGCCGGCTCAACATAGACCTGCTGCAGTTGCCAGGACACAAACTCCTGAAGGGAGCCCTCGAAGGCCTCTTCCAAGCCGAGGTTGCGGATCAGGCTGTGCAGGGAGCTGAAGCTCGGGTCCTTTGCCACGGCGTGCACGGAATCCTGGAGAGCCATCACCGCCTCAAGGCTCAGCTTGCCCAACGTCGCTTCGCCCGCGGCGCCCGCGGCGCCCACGGCGCCCGCGGCGCCTGAAACTTGCGCGGCAACCGGCGCCGGCACGCCCAGGGAGCCCAGGAGGCGGCCGAGGCTGGGCGCCAGGATCTCCCGCAGGAAGCCGCTCTCGCCAGCAAGGGGAGTCCCCTGAGCGACACCCTCCCAAACCTCAAGCAGGACCCGCGCTGAGACATCGCCGGAGATCATGGCCGTCAGAGGAGCCTTCAACTTGGTCATTGTGGGCCCAGTGACCTGAAGAGTATTGACGGCAAGCGGATTTGCCCCCAGCTCCTTCAATGCGCATTGCAGCATCGGGCTCAGGTACGTCTTCAGGAGGTCCGGCGTGTCCTCCACCAGCCCGAGCTGCTCAACGAGGCCGCTGAGGACCGTGAGGTCAAAGGTACCCCGCATGATCGACTCGACGCCCTCCTTGAGCACCGGAAGATTCTCATTGGAGATTGCCTTCCAAAAGTGGCGGGACTCTCTGGCGACGCATCGGGGCATTGTCGGGGTATCGGGGCGAGAGCGCATGACTCACTCATGGCTGTCTCATGGCTGTCTCACTTCCGCCGAATCTCTTCCCTCCCCGCAAGTCCCGCAAGTCCCAGCCTGTGAGATGCGGCTGGCCATGGTGTGGTCCATGCAAAACGTCCTCAGCAGTTGGCAGCGGACCATCGGCTGCACGAGATCCGTCAGCAAGAGGCTGCCTTCTTGTTTGCTCTTTTCGTGAGAATCATCTTGAGGGGGGGGTGCGGAATGTGCGGAGGCGTCTGTAGGGTTTTTAGGGTGGTTTGGGTCCGGTTGTTTCGGGCACCTCCTCCCAGCTTGCTGAGGGCAGTCCCAAGCATGGCCAAGGTCGGCGGGCCGGAGAGGAAGCTTCCCAGGGAGTCGACCAACACACCCAAGTCTGCTTGCAACAGCTTCTTGGCCACCTCTGTGGGGACCTTGGCTTCTGAGAGAGCATCGCTCCAGGCTGCATTGCTGCATGTCGCATCAATTCGCATCATGTCGCTGCACTCCGTGAAAAATGCCTGCACGGAGCCATAGGACGCAACGTGCACACTGAGCCCGTCACGCAGGACTCCCGCAACTTTGAGAGCAGGCTCGGGTAGACCACATCCAGGGGGCTAACCCCGAGCCTCGGCTTTTCACTCTCTTGCTCAAGGGATCACTCATGACCAGTCCATGGCAAGGAAAAGGGGGAGGTTGTCAGTCAGAGCTTTTCCGAGGCCTGCTGTGGTCAGGCCGCACGTCCTAAAAAATGTCCTACAAGATGTCCTACAGGGTGACAAGTTGCGCTTGCTGCTGTGATTGACGTCACCCGTTGACCTGCTGGGAAAGCCTGGCCCCCTGCAACAAGCTGCTGAAGCCTGGGCTGTCCGGATCAAGAAGCTGTCGTCCAAAGTCCTCAAGGAGCGCGCCCGTGATCTCGCCACTTAGAAGTGAGGTGGCCAGAGACTGCCTGGGGCACGGAGTGGAGGACTTGCGAAGTTGATTTTGAAGAGTTCACACACGCTCCCACATGTTCCCCGCCCCCCCCACCCCCACCGTCTGCCTGCCGGCGCTGAAGGTTTGCAGGTCCAAGTTCTGGGCCATCGCATTGGCGACAGGTCTGGAGACTCCCAGCCGCAACATGAGCGTTCTCAGCATGGACTTCAGCATGGGCAGGAGCTCAAAGCCCAGGGCAGAGGAGAAGCGTTTGAGCATGTCAAGCGACACTTCTCCCTGCAGCATCTCTGTTGCCAAGGCTTGCAGCGACCTGAGCGTCTCTTCAGAGACGCTTCGTTTCACGGACATGGCAGCACTGGGCTCGGCGCCAAGGCGAAGCAGAAACGAGTGCAAAGCTGGGGCAATGACGTCCTCAAAGAAATCCGCGACGCCGAGGTTCCTGCAGATTCGGGCGAGGGCGTCCATGACATCTCCGGCCTCGACGCCCGCCATGGACTTCACCAGGTCAACAACATCGGTAGCCATCTCCCCCAGGAGTGGAATCGTCAAGTGCTGCTTGGGCAACTCGCTGACGTGCGGCTCCACACCTGCTCGCAGCATGAAGCTGGAAATGGTTGGCGCGATGAGGGCTGAGGCAGAGTCGAGGTTACAGATCCGACCAAGCTGAGACACAAGATCTAATGAGAAGGATCCACCGACCAAGTCAAGGAGGATTCGCTGCGCGTCGGACAGCTTCCTGCGGATGTTCTGATCTGTTATCGCTGATCCGCACTGCAGGATTGCATCCTCGGAGATCTTGAACCAGCGCAGCATATAGCCCAAAGCCGGCTTGACTAAGTCCTCCGCCAAGGAGATGCCCATGGCTGCACAAAGCGACTGAAGTGAGCCAAGCGGGTCGCGATACACGTCAGACACTGAAGGCGGTGAGGTGATGGCACTCGTCATGACTTGAACTAGCCGCATCGCGTGTTGCGGGGGGACTCCCGCGCTGACCAGTGCAGAGCTCATGGTGTCGTTCGCCAGGCGCCGCGCAGACTGGCCGGACGCATCCACCTGCTGAATCTTTCGGAGCAAAGCAGCTCCCTCCGCCCACGTCTTCAACCCACCCAAAAACCACCCTCCCTCGCCAAGACCCATCAACAGCCTTTTTTCGGAACCCCAGAACTGAAATCAGCAGTGACAATTTTGTTGAGACATATTTTTCCGTAGGCGATACTGTTACGAAACATTAGTCACCATTCGTCACGGAACCCAGATGAACCAGCTCTTGTGCTTGAAAAGTAAACAGCCCACGCCTGCTGCGATCCCCATCTGCTGAAGGCACCCAAGGCCCCACGGCGTGGAAATGGCCCTCTGCCATGTTGGGCGGGCCGGGCGCGCAGCCGGCGCGCGGGCTCCGCGGGCTCTGTGTGTTGCTCGGGGAGGTCGACGTCCAGCTGCTGGGCTGCGACGACGGCGCGGAGCAGCGCCAGGTCGAGGCGGCCCTGAAGGGCCTCGGCCAGCAGCAGCTCCTGGCCAGCCAGCGCCTCGCGGGCGGCGGGGGACAGGCCGAGGGTCTGCAGCGCAGCATCCAGGATGCCAGCGGCCGCCTGATCCACGGAGTCCGGCGGCAGGAAGATCAGCAGGACTTCCCGGAGATCTGCAGGTGTGGCTTGCAGCCGTGCCAGCCTAGATCCCACGGCCTTGGCCGTTTCCAGGTTCTCTGCCGTGACAGCCTTCACCAAACTCTGCGCGTGGGCTTCAGCGAAGGCCTCCGAGGCGCCCAGCTCCTGCAGGAGGCACTCGACAGATCGGGTCAGGAAGACCTTCTCGTCCAGGCCGAACAGGTGGGCTGCCTCCACAAAGGCCTCGAAGCCCGCCCCCGAGCCGAAGAGCTTTCCCAGCAGCCCGTCCAGCTCGCGCAAGTCGCCGAGAATGTCCACGGAGGCCTCCACCGACAGGAGCCGCGCGACGCTGGCCTCGAGCTCCATGGCCAGGGGCCGGCAGATCCTGGATCGAAGTGAAAAACCATAAGCATGATCGGTGGCATTTCGTTAGAGCGTTTGATGCCTAAGAAGCTGTTGCTTCTCCGCTTCAACGAGCCCCCGGCGGTCCTGGCTTGGAGCGCGAAGCCCCTGAAGAGCTGGGCGAGCAACGTGGTGGCCATGGACTCCTGCGTGGGCAGCCGGAACTGTATGGTGTGATAATGGAGCGCACCATCACCACGTTACCGCCACGTTACCGCCAATTGTGTATCAGATGCAGCACAGGCTTGGGCTTATAGGCTTCGCAGCGTGGGCACATCCAGCGCACCTTCTAGCTATGTATTCTGTATTCATGCTACAGTACGTTACGTGATGTTACATGTTCAATCATGTTCACCTTCCTCGCAAGATCTCACAGAAGCCACTTCGAGTGACGTCTGGCGGGCTCTCCTCTGCACCCAAAGCGACGAAGAGGGCCCGGGCCCAGTCGAGATCCAGCTCCCCTTGAAGCCACCTCAAGGAAGGCTCCCAAAGGCACTCACTGTAATATCTGTACTGTGACAGCCACCCCAGCCTCTCGAAGAGGGCCGGAAGGGACGCGACGGATGTGGCTGGAGGGTTGCTGGCGCTGGCGTTCCAAGAGGTGTCCACCTCGTAGTCGGCCAAGAAGCCTTGGAGCGCGGGCTGCACGATGCTGTTCAAGAAAGCCTCCCCGGAGATGTTGAAGAAGCCCACGAAGAAGCGCTCGAGAATCTGCAGGTCCACGTGGCCTGAGAGCAGGAGAAGCCGCTGACATACACACATCAGCCTTACCTTTACCTAGAGGCAGGCCTGGTAGGTACTTGCTTAGACTTAGATTGGTTTCCAGGCGGGAGAGGTTCAGGGAGACTGTCTGGAGGAGTTCTGAGGTACTTGTATCCGTCTTGGGTCTGAGGCCTTGAAGGATCACTGGGAAAAGCTCGTCGAGGGCCGGGACCAAGTCCGCGAAGGAGGCGTCTTCCAAACGTTCCAAGACGAAGGTGGGGAGGTGGAACTTCCCGAGCTGGGATGCCACCAGTCCACGGGCCATGGAATCGAAATGCGCGTCCAGGCTCATCTGCGAGAGAAGGGCCCGGAAGGACCCCAAGCTGGGCCGGGTGGCAAGGGCCAACGCATCCGCCAGGAAGGCCGTCGGGCCCGAACCCGTCGTCCAAGGACCATTTGTGAAGTCACTCGGGCTGCTGATGTTTGCAAAGAGGCTGATGAGGCTGCTCCGCACGAGGGCGGCGTGCCCCGGCTCGACCCCGAGCTGCAGCAGAAGCCTCTCAGTAAAAGGGGCCAGAAGGTGATCGCTGAAGGCGGACGCGGGCGCATAGGGAGTTCCCACCATGATGGCCTCCCAAGTCTGCCAGAGAAGCGAGCTGCTGAGCCCCACGGGGCTGCTGTGGCTGCCGCGGCTGACGCTCTGTTGCAGGGCCAGCAAGGGCGCGCTGAGCTTCGGGATGTGCTCAGCCCGCAGCGCCACGGCGCTCACGGCCGAGCTGCTGGCGCCCAAGCCCCGCAGGACGCAGCGGGCCAGCGGGGTCAGGTAGACCTCGGCGAAGTCACCCAAGCTGCTGGCCAAGCCCAGCTGCTGCAGCAGCTGTCCCATCTTCCCAACGTCCATGTTGCCTTGGATGAGGGCGTCTGTGCTGCTGAACACCAGCTCCAGATTGGCCACGGTGATCGCCGAACTGATGCGAGAGGCGGCGACCTCAGTTCCGTGAGCCACTGCTACAAAAGAACAACACTTCACCACGGGGCTTCAAGCATGCATGCTGCATGCTGCGTGCTGCCTAAAAACGACAGGGAGTCTGAGAGTCTGAGAGCCTGGCCGCGTCCACGCAGTAGCTGCGCATGAGCACGCAGCGCACCATGGGCTGCACCAGCTCAGCCAGGAAGTCCACGTGCGCGGCCTCGGCGAGCTTCGCGACTGCAGTCTCCAAGCCTTGCAAGTCTGCTGGGGAAGCCACCAGAGTACTGAAAGCTTCGAGGAGGATGCTGGCCTCCGCTTGGAACAGCTTCTCCACAACGCCTCGAGGCACACAAGCCAAGCTGAGCTTCTGAGTGAGGACGGGCTTAAGCATGTCGAGCCATGCATCGGCCCCCAGCACTGCAGCGATGTTCTGAAGAAGACTCACGGACAGGTCGCCGGCCATGAGGCTGCTGAATCCTTCAGAGAGCCGATCAAGGATGGAGGCGTCCACCGCTGCACACATGCGCTGACTGCTCTTCCAGGACACCCCGAGATCAATGAAGCTTTGACGGCAGAAGGGCTGGAGCACCTGGACGTACACGTCCGAGATGCCGAAGGCCCCGGCCATCGACAGCAAGCCGTCAACATCCAGGCTTCCAAGGAAGAGCTGCTGCATAGCTGGCACCACGGCGTGCGCGGTGTCCTCGGTGACGGCCGCTTGCACCGTCACTGCCGTACTGGCAGGAATGCCAAGCTGCAGCGTCCTGACACGCCAAGGCTCAAGTGGCTCAAGCACCAGTATTCACCAAAACTTTAAGCCTTTTATCAACCTTACGCCCTTACGCCCTTACGCCCTTACACCCATACCTTTACACCCGTACACCCTTACACCCTTACACCCTCATACGCCCAAGGCAGTGCCAAACTGGGCCAAGCAGCAACTCCTTCGTCACAGGCCCTAAAACGTCAGCGTAGAAATCAGGAATGCCCAGTGCGACGGTCAACCTCGCGGAAGGTGCGATAAGATCTCAGATGTTATGTTACTATACCAAGCACAAATCGGCTCTGGCCCAGCCTCTCGAGCGCGTCCAGGATGTTGGCAGCATCCAAGCCCGCGATGGCTTTGATGAGGACGGTGAACTCACTGCCGAGCTGGTCAAGGCTGGACAGTGTCAAGGATTTGGCGGCAAGCCGGGCATTGCGAGATGCCAGGCCCCACTCCAAGAGCGTGTCGCTCAGCATGGGAGCAATCAAGGCCTGAGCTGGGTCGTCAAACCCACACACTCCCGTGCTCAAGCGAGACACCGACGCAGCCGAGACATCCCCGCCGGCGATTTGCATAATGGCGCCCGTGATGTCCAGAAGCCGCTCATCGACGGTGTCATCTTGGAGGGAACCCATGCACTGGATCTGGATGCCAGCAGGGGCCTTCACAGACTCCAGGAAGTACGCGGCGGCAGGCTGGAGGATGTCCTCCGTCAGGGATAGGCCGAGAAGCTCGCACACGTGCTGAACGATGAGGAATGGGTTCTTTGCCAGGTCGTCCAGAGCCAACTTGCATTCCTCGCCGGCAAGGCAGCCGCCGATCTTGGCGGCGATGCTCGTGGGGATGCCTGGCACATCAACAAACTCCATCTGCCTCGCCATGCCTCGCCTAGTATGCCTCAATATGCCTGAATATGCCTCAGAGTGACAGAGAGGGAGAGAAGATTGAAGAGGCGCAACAACCGCAACCATCTTGAAGCCCTGTGCAGGCGAGCAGCCCAGCTTCTCCAAGACCATCTTCATCAAAGGCTTCGCGAGGTCCTCCATGGGAGCTCCATCCAGGGTGATCTCCACCTTCTCACCTTCGCAGGTGTGCGGAAGAGTGAGCCAGTCCTCCTTCTTCACAGGAGGTACCGTCTGCGCCGAGAGCGGCGGGCAGGCAAAGTCGGAGTCTTGAAGCAGCCAGAGGTCCTCGGCAGCCTCGACGGTCCGGTTCTGCGACCGAAGCATGGCACTTGAGCTGCCCGAGTCGCCCGAGTCGCCCAAGTCGCCCGAGTCGCCCAAGTCGCAGGCGGGCACCTCCAAGAGACGCCGCGCGTGCTCGTGGCGCCGCTCCTCTGCGCGCTCCTCGAAGAGCCGCCGCCGAAGGTGCCGGAGGCCACGGATCTCCACATGCTTCGGCCACTCCCTCACTCGACGCTTGCTCCCGGTGCCACTGATTTCCAAGGGTCCCTCATCTAGCTCGGCCGTGGTGCCGTGGACTGTGAAGCTGGCCCCTCGAGGCACGCGAAGCAAAAAGGACGAGCTGGAGGCCGAGTCAGCCAAGGTGACCCAGACCTCGATGCTGCCGACTGCTGCGGTGACTTGATCATCATCTGCAAGGTGATCGCCCAGCTTCTTTGCAAAAGCCACGTAGCCGAGCTTGAACGCCATGTCACTTTGCGGGCCCACGATGCCTGGAAAGCTTCCTGCCCAGCTGTGTCGACAGCCCAGCTGGCCCGAGCCAAGCGAAGCTGACTCGTTGACCCCGTCGAAGTGCAGCATTCCATCTGAGATAACTGCCGAACCCGCCGCCCAGCCGGCATCGTACGCCAGATGGACCTTTGCTTTGTCCAGATACTCGGCGACCGTGATGCTCACGCCCGCTTTCACCGTGAGGTGCCCCAGCATCGGGAAGTACACCCCAGTGGCCCAGTCGACGATCAGCTTCAACGTCAGGGAACTCCAGGTGCCGCTCACGGAGGCTCCTCTCTCTCTCTCTCTCTCTCCATCTCTCTCTCTCTCTCTCTCTCTCTCTCTCTGTCTCTCTTTCTGTCGCTCTTTACGAGACAAGAAGTGGGACAGACAATGACAGCACTGCGGACAGGACTTCTTACGCACACTATGAGATGTCTCTTGATACCGCTGTGTCAGATGAATCATGTTGAATCCATGGCCAAGGCTCCGAGCACACGCTTCCGGCCACCCTGGTAGCACGGGAGCGTGTCGACCAAGAGCCCGAAAGCCCTTGCAGCCGTCTCCGGGATGGGCGGGAGAAGGTCGCCCTCCACGTGCCCCGTGTTGGCTGTGGACGGGACCAACGCAAAGACCGCGTCGATTGCCCCGGCATCCTTCAACTGCAGGACAGAATCTTCAGGAATGAAGGCTCCAGTGATGGCAGTCCCGCTGCAGGCAAGGACCAGCCTCTCGACCTGGGAAAAAGGGGGCGGTGAGGGGGGAGGATCCAGGGTGGTCAGTCAACACCCGCCCCCTCTCCCTGGGATCAACCCCTGAACCTCACCCAACATCACCCCAAAGATCACCCAAACCTCACCCCCCAAAAATCTCCTCAACATCTCACGCCCGAACCTCTACAGCATCCCCTTTTTGTTTCTCGGCTCCGAGGCGCGTAGAGGTGCGGGATCTCGCCCTGAACAAGGTCGGCATGGACGCCCTTGAGCTCCAAGTCGCTGATGGAGAGGTCGGCCACGTTGAAGTTCACCGTCAAGCTTTCCGCGACCAAGGCGTTGAGCTGGTTGAGCATGGGGTGCTGGTCACGCGCGTGCTCCAAGACGGAGACCATGAAGATGGAAGGGTCCTCGCGGTCGATCACCACGTGCATCGGCGAGTCTGGACTGACGGAGCGAGGAACAACTCTCAGAGGAATCAGAGGGTCATCGTCGCTGAAAGCGAAGGAGACGTCCAGGGCCTGCCACACCACCTTCACGGACTTCTCGAGCTGCTTATGCTGCTTGAGCTGCAGCGCCAGCTCACCGGACCAAGCCTTCACGAAGGAATCGGTTGAAGCAAGCCCCTTGTACTCCCCCGTCTTGAAGCGGAGCTGCACATCCTCGGTGAGCAAGAGCCACTCCAGCTTCACGGACGTCAGGTCCTCCAGCCAAGGGATGGGGTAGATGTGCGCCAGTGGGACCTCGGACGCCGGCTCGAAGCGGAGGTTGTGATTGTCCACCCGGTGCAGGGGAACTGCGCCGACGTCCAGGTTCAGGAAAAGCTGGCCGTTGGACACGGCGGTCTCCCACTTTTCCCACTCCGAGCCGGCAGATAGGCGGGCCTTCATCTGCTCTGCCGCGTAGGTCAGGTGCAGCAGGGGAAGCGCTTCCACGCCGAAGCGGACGGAGGGCTTTGTCACCAGGAACTCGATGGCGCAGTCTGCGAAGCTCAGCGAAAAGCCGGCCTTGTCCATGGAAAAGTCGCTGTGCAGCAGCTTGGTGGCCAAGGTGTCTGCAAACAAGCCGGACATCGCCCTGGTCCACTCTGAGCCGGGGGCCTGCAAGGGCACTCCATCCAGAAAGGGCGGGTAGAATCCCGGTCGCTGGGACCATTGCTTCCACACTGCATAGGCACGGAGCTCAAGAAAGACCCGCAGCTCCAAGCTCACCAGGTCTGCTTGAGAAGTGGCCAGGCTCAGGTCGCGCCGAAAACCCGCCACGTCAAAGTCTGGTCCTGCGGACGCATAGCTCTCAAGGGCCTCCTGCACTGGCGCGACCTTCTGCATCTGGCTGAGGCATGTGGCGGCACTGGCATCCGCCACCCAGGAAATGCCAGACACCAAGGAGCAGAGGTCATGACAGCTGCTGGAGCAGCCTGGCTGATGCGGGGCGTTCAGTTGACATCCGCAAGGTGATTGGCAGTCCATCGGAGCAGAGTCCGTGGTGGCCATCTCGGCAAGGTCCAGCAGCCGTTGCAACGAGAGGCTGGCATTCTGGCCAAGCCGCCGCGCACGTCGCGCAGGACTTGGCGCCTCGAAATGCTGGAACGTGTAGATGTTCTCCGGTTTCGCCCGCTTGGCCTTCGGCTCCTTCGGCACCGTCTCCTCGCACCTCATCCGGCCCTGACGAACTTGGCACGCTCCCTCCGGCGCGCTGGTGGATGTGATGGAGGGCTTGGACAGGGGCCTCACGACTTTGGCCTCACGGAGCCGCCTTTCCGCGGACCCGGAAGAGCCAAAAGTACCCTCCAGCAGCACCAGGCTCTGTTTGGAGATGCTCGGGGCCGCCCAGAGTCCTGAAAACCAGCTGTGTTTCGTCTGAACCAAGGCCACCCTGCAGCCACTGCAGATTCGGCCCTTGAGCTCGAAGTCAGTGCTGGAACGCGCGCCGCTCTTGTCCAGGCGGCCGTACACGAAGCCCCCTTGCGATGTGACCACGCGCATGTTCAGGGGCACGTTGCTGGCTTCCGGCGTCCTGATGCGAAGCTGTGCAATCAACCCGAGAGGGAATCCAGGCAAGGTGGAAGCAGTTGGGAAATCCGCATCCACGTCGACTTGTATCTGGCCCAGGTTGGCCTTGCCCTGAATCTCGACAACGGTCTCTCCGTTGCAGGCACAGGCTTGCAAGAGAAGTCCCGAGAGGTCGGCATGAAAGCATGTGGAGTTGGAACAAGGGGCGTGGTCCGCATGGCGGGGAAGGGCACCCCACCAGTCATCGCCCAGCCTTGGGTGAAAAGTGCCATCGTCCCCTAAACCGAAGTCTCGCGGGTCCTCCGTCGGGGAAGAGCACCGGAACCCGAGCAAGTCGCCCACCTCGGCAGAAGCCTCTATGCGCCAGTTGTCAAGAACCTCCGGGGGACCGTATCTCCTCTCCCCGTCAGCTGTGTACAAGACCTTCGGCATGCCTGTCTCCACATCCAAGCCAATCGATCCCGAATGATGTGAGTCATGTGAGTCCTGTGAGTCCTGTGAGTCGTGCGAGATGTCGTGCGAGTAGTTCAGCATCGCAAGGAGGAAGCCGGGTGTGACCACGTAGCTGTGCAACCTTTTGGGCCACACGTCCGTCAACTTCGAAACGGTGCAGTGCCGCGCGGCACCATCATGGATCTCGTACATGATCGTCTCCTGCCTGTCATAGTTCAGCAGCGTGACGGACTGGCCGTGTGCATCCACAGAAGAGGAAAGAAGCATGTGACCCCGAACCCAGAAGGCGACGTTGCGCATGGATCGGCCTTCCAAGCGGGATCGGGTCATCAACGACAAAGTGGGCCTTGGCACCTCCAAGATGGACGAGTTTGGAGAAACGGAGGTCGGGGAGAAAGGCGAAGAATTCGTGGCGTCCTGGGGCCCAGGGACGTCCTGGCACGTAGGCGTCGTCAGGGTGTAGAGGCCGACGATCGTCCAGCGCGGATCATTCAAAGATATCTGGGTCGGAGCCAGGCCCCGGTCGTCCAACGCCTTCGGCATGTGCAGCCGCTTTCCAATAGCAGGGTCCCCCGTCTAGTGACTAGAGTGTAACCCCAAACCCGCCCCTCTCCGTGCCCCAACCTCAAATTACCTCAACCTCCAAGGGCGCTACTGTGTACAACCAGTACTCCGAGAAGCCTCCAGATGGCCAACAAGCGCCTCATCGAAGTAGGCCGCGCCGCCGTCCAGAATGATGGTGCCACTGTTCTGCAGCTCCAGGCGGACGAGCCAGCCAGCGGTGGAGATCCACGAGACGCTTGCCAGCAGCTTCGCGCTGCCAACAGGAAAGAAGGCCTTCTGATCCATGCAGGTGATCTCAACGGAGGTCCATGACTGCAAGGATTCTTCCGAGAAGGCACATCCGCTGGAGATCTTCTTGCGCTGGACATTCACACCCACCCTCACAATGTCGAAAGGCGACGGGCCGTTGTCACTGTGATCCGCGTCGCTCTGACGTGACAGGAGCATGCCATCCACCAGTTCGAAGTCCGAGCTCGCAGTCCTGATTGGGAGGCCGGTGTCCTTCTGGCGCAACACGGGGTCAGCTTCACTGGCTCTGATTGGGAAGAAATACTCGAAGCCCACGGCGAAGATGCCACCAACACCACCCAGGAAAATCAACAGCAAGCCGAAGATGAGCGCAAGGATGCGCTTCTGGAGAACCCTCACTTGCGTGTGCTTGTCCTTGTAGTAGCTGGCAATCTTAACGACCTCAGACATCTCAAAGCGACCGTCGCCCGTCTCGTCCCACTTGACGAGCAAGTCCAAGAGCTCCTGGTCAATGTGCTGCAGCTTCATGGACTTCACCCGCTCGGCCTCCTCATGCTGGCCCTGGCTCCTCAAGGTCTGGTACAGCGTGAAGCGGGAATCCACGTTCGAAACGGAAGACCCGCTGGCAATGGTGACTCGCTTTTGACCCACTGCCTCACTGGGATCATCGTCTTCATCGCAGGATTGAGCTCCTTGAGCTTCTTGAGCTTCAGCCTGCGCGGTGCCAGCATCCGGGCTTTCCGGAGTCGCGGCCATTTCGGTTTCCACGGGGACCTGTTCCTGGTGCGGAAGTACGTGCAAAAGTACGTGCACAGGTGCAGTGCACGATGGCACGGTGTCAATGTCACTTCTTGCATCTGTTTTTTCGTGTCTTGCATGCCACTTCCCATAATCAAAACAAATACAGTACCCTTCTCAAAAAACTTCTCCTGTCTGAGCTGAAGGACCGTCGCGATTGCAATGGCATCCTGACACTCTATTGCTCGAATCTCGTGGCATGGAATGGAATGACGACAGGAGATCTTCCGAGAGCTGCAGTCTGGGGTCCCGCCTGGCTCAGGCGCACCGGGTCGGTAGGATCGATCACCACATCCTGATCCCTTTCACCGCAAACACTGCCGACACTTCCGTCCTGGAAAACAGGGGTGCAGATGCGTGCTGGACAGCCCATGGTACTATACCAGGCCTCGTCGGCAGGCGGCTTTCCATCAATCGAAAAAACACCACCCTGCTCCCAAGCACCTGGGCAAGGCCACGGCAAAACATGGCAAAAAACATGGCAAAACCCACGCCGTTGCGCAAAAGTGTGCAGATTGTGCAGGACCAGTCCAGGCCTTCTGATGGCTTCGGCATCGTAGTCGGCATGACCCCAACACGAATGCAAAGCCGACAGCAACGACAAACCTGACCCGAATGACCGGCAGTGAGCCCAAAGTGCTGCAGGACAGATGCATCCTCACATGCGAGTGAAGACACAGTACATCAGAGTCGCCAGAGGACTTTTCTGAGTGGCTCCCACCCCCCCCCCCTGGAGGTTCACGGGAAGGCCTAGCATGCCTCGCGACCTGGCACCTGGCACCGACAGTCACGAAACGCTTACCAGATACCCACTCCCGCTGGTCTCTGGCATGTTCTCTGGCATCATGCTTTTCGTTCACTGGCGATCTTGTTCCATAGGCTTCGGTAAGCAAGTCTTGAAGACGATGAAAAGGGGCGAGCCCGACAGAACACCTCCCCCGAGGAAGTGACCTATGGCCCCTGCCACTAAAGAACCTGGGAATTGCGGCACGAGGCTGCACTTGGTAGAGATTCTCTATCACTCTCATAGCACACTCTCATCGCAAGCGCTCCTGCCCATTCCTGCGCACCGTCAGCCTGCCATGCTAGCCGGCCTCCAACGCTTTGTGTGGGGTCTGAGGCAAGGCCCGTGCAAAGATCCTCCGGTCTAGCCCTCAATTGGGCAGAAGGCCTCCAACGCTTTTTTGTGGGGCCGAGCGAAAACGCGAAATTGAGCAAAAAGGGGTCGTGTTGGTCTCTCCAGCCTCGTTCAAAGCCTCGATGCCAATGGAGTTCTGGAAATGCCGGGAAATTGGGGGACACGAGGCTGCCGCCCTTGTTGCTGCAGAGCAGCTCAACAGCACTGGCCATGCCGATGCGAGACGCAGCTACAGAACTGTCGTATGCTTCCAGCACGCTTTTGACACTGCCCCGGATTCCTGTTCACCGAATGGATGACAGCAATAACTGCAGCTTGTCAGTTGTGTGGAGTGATGGAAGCTCCGGACAGCCCTAGCCCTAGCCACGCATTCAAGATTGCTGCATCCTCGTTGGCGTTTGGCATCTAAACCATCAGTCGGAAAAAGGAGCCCGTTCTATCCAAATGCAAACCCAGATCCCCGGCTGTCTCTAGCTGCGTACACGACTGGCAGAGGATGCATGGGAGCGTGCACTTCAGGTGAGCTTCACATGGATTTCGGTTGGATGCTCTGGCTTGACTACTGTAAAACACTAGGTAGCAATGCTGGTGACAGGTGCCGTATAATATAGCACAGAAGGCATGATCGACAGGCGATCTTGCAGGGAAGCCTTGAGCAGCACAAGCGAATCACGACGGCTAGTAACTCATGTGAGCTCATCAATACAGCTGACACTTGAAGGAGCGCGTTTGATCCGGCCGGCCGGACAACCCCTGGTGACCCCAACCCAAACGATCCCCAAACTCACAGCGGAGGCTGCATGGATGATGGCTGGCGTAAACCGTTGCCAGAGGCTGTTTCCTTTACCGGCAGGCCGGCGTGTCGGACGCCAGCTCCTCCCTGCCCTGTACGACGAACTTGCATGAAGCATGCAGAAAGGGGGCATGCTGTGAACCCCTGGCGGACCCCGGCCTCCGACGCTTTTGTGTGGGGCCGGGGGTAAAACGTTGCCAGGGTCGAAATTGGGGGTTTGGGGCCGGGGCTAAAACGTGGTCGAAATTGGGGGACACGAGGCTCTGGCCCTTGTTGCTGCAGAGCAGCTTCTTAAAGCTCTCATGCATCACACTTTCATCTTATACTGGCACACAGTAGCTCTCCCCATCCTTGCGCACTGTCAGCCATGCCATGCTGTGAACCCCTGTAACGCTGCGGTGCACCCCGGCCTCCAACGCTTTGTGTGGGGCCGGGGGTAAAACGTGGTCGAAATTGCGGGACCCGAGGCTGCGGCCCTTGTGGCTGCAGAGCAGCTTACTAAAGCTCTCATCTATCACACTCTCAGCTCATACTGGTACAGTAGCACCCCCCCATCCTTGCGCACTGTCAGCCATGCCATGCTGTGAACCCCTGTGGCAAACCCCGGCTCCCAACGGCTTTTGTGTGGGGCCGGGGGTAGAATGTTGCCAGGGGCCGAACGGTCTGAGGCAAGGCCCGTGCAAAGCTTCAGGAAAGCCTCGAAACCAACATGACCAGGCCATGAACACTGGCCATGCCGATGCGAGACGCAGCTACAGAACTGTCGTATGCTTCCAGCACGCTTTTGACACTGCCCCGGATTCCTGTTCACCGAATGGATGACAGCAATAACTGCAGCTTGTCAGTTGTGTGGAGTGATGGAAGCTCCGGACAGCCCTAGCCCTAGCCACGCATTCAAGATTGCTGCATCCTCGTTGGCGTTTGGCATCTAAACCATCAGTCGGAATAAGGAGCCCGTTCTATCCAAATGCAAACCCAGATCCCCGGCTCGTCTCTAGCTGCGTACACGACTGGCAGAGGATGCATGGGAGCGTGCACTTCAGGTGAGCTTCACATGGATTTCGGTTGGATGCTCTGGCTTGACTACTGTAAAACCATAGGTAGCAATGCTGGTGACAGGTGCCGTATAATATAGCACAGAAGGCATGATCGACAGGCGATCTTGCAGGGAAGCCTTGAGCAGCACAAGCGAATCACGACGGCTAGTAACTCATGTGAGCTCATCAATACAGCTGACACTTGAAGGAGCGCGTTTGATCCGGCCGGCCGGACAACCCCTGGTGGCCCCAACCCAAACGATCCCCAAACTCACAGCGGAGGCTGCATGGATGATGGCTGGCGTAAACCGTTGCCAGAGGCTGTTTCCTTTACCGGCAGGCCGGCGTGTTGGACGCCAGCTCCTCCCTGCCCTGTACGACGAACTTGCATGAAGCACGCAGAAAAGGCCCGCAAATCGAGGCGACAAAGCTCAGCACAGAAACTTCAAGGCGAAAAGGTTCCTGAACTAGGGAACCGTTTGGCAGCCGGCGACAGCTACCACTATTTACAATGGCTGGCCATTCAGGTGTGAGTCAAAGAGCAACTTGACCAGCTCTGCACGAAACCAAAACGCAAGCTGCAGCTACAGCTTGCTACAGACATTTGGCTGCACGCCAGACATCTGCAAGATCTGCAGGCGAAGCGCCATCAATGAGCAAATGCGGTTCACAAGCACCACGCCAGTGGTAAAACCCCATTCAATGGGCTCTCTTGCTCGCTACTCGGTGGATTTGACACGCGCTTGGAGCCTGTGAATTCGGAGTGCAGGCCGGTGATGGCTCCGGCCACGGAGGCTGAGCGGGATGCTCTGGGCCAGCACCTCCACGGCGTTCTTCTAGTCGGTATCCACAAAAACAAGGACAGGGCACCAGAACAACTTGCTGCCAGCCACCAGCATTCTTCTGCGAGTCTCTCGACAGTGAAACAACTAACTGACCGGGCTCAGAACCTGAATCTCGAACGAACTGATGCCGCAGACAAATGGCGAAAAAAAACAATTGCTCACATTGCTGAATGATGTGTGTGGGTGTGTGTCTTCCAGCTGGACTCTGTGTTCCAACGTAGAAGTCAGCCTGGTCCTGGGACTACATCTCTAGAACATCGTCCTCCGCATGCCGCCGATCTGCACACAACTTCATGACCTTAGTCAGTCAGCTTACATGATCCCCAGCTCTGGCTTATCACTCGCTTGCATACCAACACGGAAGTCCCAATCTCATGACGACGCTCATCCCAAAACCCACAACCCAAGTCTTGGGTCAGATCAGCTGCGCGATGTACCAGCTGTACAGCGTCATTGGAAGGCATCTGCCCCAAGCGCCGTATGGCTAGAGACAAATCCTCACGAAGCACAATCCCAATGACCCCTTGATTCTCCACAAGGCCTTAGAAGGTTGGATTCTCTTCGCTCATTCTGCTCTGCGGCAACACTCATGACATGTCAGCTGAAGCATCCACGTGTTTGCCCTCACTGTGAGTCAAGGAATCCTGCATTTCATGGTCTGCAATGCATCGTGCCGGGTCCTCTGGGCTGCAGGTCAGCGCATCAGAGTCGGTGAGGGATGTGAGGGCTTCGATGCGCGACATCCACACAGTGCCAATGCGGTTTTTGGCAACGAGTCGTGGGAGGGTCTTGTGAGCCGTGGCCAAGACACAAATGACGAGGCCCTCCCGGGGTAAGTCAGCTTGCCCAAGTTGTTCCAACCACAAGTCCATGAACTCTTCGTTGGCCTCCACGGCACGAATCGACGAGAGTCCCCGAGTAGGTTATAGTTTGGGTGTTGCCGGCGTTTATACCCTAAACCTTCTGATCGCAGCCATGCGCCTTCTTAAGGACCACACGCTGGAAGGAAGGTCCAAAGCGCAAGACTGCAGCCCGTGCCCGCTGCAGCAACGACTTCAAGCCTTGGCTTGACAGGTCAGGATTCTTAGATTCTTGGGGTTCAAGAGGGTTTAGAGCTATGTAGAGCTATATGGGCCTGGGGCTTTACAAGGTTCAGGGGGTTTATGTAGGATTTGCTTGAGCGCCGCAATCGCTTTCAAGTATGTCTTTAACATTCTTTAACGAGAACCCCTCCCTGCTCCAGGCCGTGTGGCCTCGGGTGTTTTCCCTCGTGTCTCAGGTACCCGGGCCAGACTGCCAAGTTGCCGCTCTCTTTCGCATGCTTTTAGGCTCCTTGCTCGATGGATGGCCGTGCTCTCGTGCGTCGTGTTGCAGTTGGACTATGCCACCGAGTTGGTTTGACTGCCAACCCAAAGTTTTGCAACAGTTGTAAGTGGTGTTGAGAGTTGGCCGCAGTGTAGGTGCTTGCCAGGGGCAACCTTTGCTGAGATTGAGATGGATGGGACGCACGGTGTCACTGTTTGAACGCTGCTGGCCTGGCACGAACGAGTGTCAGCCCTGTGGCAAAGGCGAGGTTGGGTCGCCGTCGCTTCACGGAGACCCAGGACTGCTTGAAGGACGACAAGGGCTTGGCGGCGCAGGTGTGACACTTGGTGTGTTAGTGTGTGAGTGGTGGCATGGTTTCCGTGGGTCCCGGGCACGTTCAAAGACCGGGACCTATGGGGGCTCCGGGCCAAGCGGCACGGCGGCACATTGGGGTTTGAGGGTATTCGGTGAGATAAACCAGAGTCACGTAGGCCCTACCGTTCTTTCTTATGCGGCGCGCTGCCTTAGACGGGCCACTGCAGCTTCACCTTCGGACATCACGCAGTAGCTCTCCTGACCCAACCCCCACTCTCGGAAAAGGCGTGTGACCCCGCACTTATTGGGCGCTTCTGAAACTAACCTGCTGGCCGTAAAGCCTCCTAAACTGAGCAGTCCCAGCAGCGAAATGTTGACGCCTTTGCAATGGACTGGGGGGCAACAGCAGTGATCGCATCAGATGTGAATGTCCATGAAAGCCTTGGGTTAAGAGGGTTTGGGCCTATAGCGGTTTAGGGCCATAGTGTTTGGAAGTAAAGGGCATTTCGTCATACGATTCCAGCTTGAGGCAAAGTATCCAGAGAAAAAAACAAAAAAAAAGGCTGTGCAGAGGAGGGGCTTGTCGTGGAAGGGGGGGTCGTCGTTTACAGCACGGCTTTGATACAAACCCTGTGCCTCTGTCACAGAAAAGATGCCTGGGGCCTGTTGCATACCCAATTGTCTTCGGGGTACCCTCTTGATCCCATTGGTGGGTCTATTTTCGATTGTAGAACGCTCTTCTATGAAGTTGGAAGTCAACACTCAAGGCTTGAGCGATTAGACGATGCACTTCGGAGTAGGCCATGTCTCATTGCAGGAATGGCTGAACCTGAAGACCAAGCAAAGCCACTGAAGCATGTCGGACTCCACCGGACAGAACAACGGCACTGACAGCTGGACCACGAACTGTCTCACCGCACCTCAGGGCAGGGTCAAGATCACCACTGCGCCTCAAGAACCGCAATGGTGGAATCGGATCATCATGGATCATTGAGCGCATTGATGCTTTTAACCTGCGCCTGGCCTAGAAATCTCATCGGCATCATTTTCGATGGCTCCTGGCTCAAAGCCCCCGAAGCATTGCGGAGGAGCTGCGCCATGATATGGACAAGCAAGTAGCCACAGGCGAGCAGCAGGAGAAGGAAGAGCAAATACGCCAAGCTGGGCTGCGTGTGTAATCAGGTCTTGGGGCTTTGGTCTAAGACTCTAAGAACCCTTCAGGCCCTTCAGCAAAAGAACGGTGCAGTTTCCGCCTGGCCTCAGGGTGGTGTCTTCAGGAGGGTTCAGGAGGATCAATGCCGCAATCGAAGCGAACAGGCAAACCCGGACGCAGGCCAACGTCACCTGCAGGAGCATTGGCAGATATTGGCAGCAGTGCACAGGACACTTTCGCATGCTTTCGGTTTCGTGCCACAAGGGGTCGGCAAGTGTCCAGTATGACTGCAGGCTATGATGTCGACGGCTGCTGATTCTTGTGGCGCTGTAGTCGCATGGGATGTTCACTGCCATTCTCTCCATAGTGCAACACTCATGTCGAACATGTCCAAACAAGCCAAGTTTCCTCCAACACATCCAGCACCTCGGCCTGATCATTTGCATAGGGTTTGACCCAGGCAGCCAAGATCGCCTGGACGGATTTATACGGATTTCGAATTCGTCGATGGAGAAAAACCGTCCCCCTAAGCCTGGAGCGAGCGTTACGGAACGAAAGGGCCCTGGCCCTGGGCCTGCATTAGGCCTGGACCTCACAAGATCTCACAAGGATTATGACTTAATAGGTAGCAGGTTTTCGGGAAGTCCAAGTATCTTCCCACCTGGAAGCCGGAAAGCAGCGGCAGCACCATCAACTTGGCTTCGGGATCGCGCACAGCCGAGGTGTACGTCACCAGCATCATCAGGCCCACGTCGGCCCGCTTCACAAGGATATCCCACCACCAGAACTTGGGCTCCAATCCCTCCAAGAAGTAGCCGAACCGTCTGTAGTTTTCCGGCGCCCTCCGATCCGCGAGGCTGAGAACCTTCGCGGCAAGCGCAAGGGGGATACCCACGCACCAAACTGCCAGGCCGACAAAGGCAATGTTGGCAGACGGGCGGTGCGCGTCTGTCCAGCACTCAACGTCGGGATGCGGAAGTAGGCGGCTCACAAGCCGATCGTCCTCCGGAATTGCCACACACCAAATCATTTGCAGGAAGCTGGACAAAAGCCCTGGCCACAGGGACACGAGCACGACCCAAATGATGGGAAGGCTCTGATCGATCAGCTGACGGAAGCCAGGCTTCGGGGTAAACAGCCCCAGGTCCAGCGAGTCCAAGACCTGCGTTCTTCCGTTTCAGGATATAACTTTAACTTGCAGCCCTCTATAAGATTGACATATGTTGACATCCACAGCTTCATTCGATCCAAAGAAGACCCTCGAGCAACATATGCACTTGTCAGCAGTGTTCCTCGGATCGAGTCTTCCACACACACACACACACACCTCCCCGGATTGTAAATATGTCGTTTTTTGCCCCCTTTTCCGCAAAAGCGCATCGAACACTGGACCCACTCAGACTGATCCCCTCGTACCGCTGCCTCGTCCACCTCGATGTCCAGGTCGAAGCCTCTCCTGCCGGAGCTACCAGAGCTATCGTGACACATGTGACAGCAAACGTTCAAAGAGCACTGCAAAGAAGCAAAAACTGGTGCTGTCTCTGAGGACTAAGGCTCTTCAGCTGAAAGCCTGCTTCGACACCTTCGTCTGCCTCGTCCACCGCCTCGTCCACCGCCTCGTCCACCGGCTCGTCCACCTTGGGCTCTGAAGGCTCCGCTTCACCTTCAGCGGCAATGGACTCGAGCTGAGTGTGTCGATGACTCCATGCGAGGAGCTCGTCCAGGAAGCTGGCGAGGTCTTCGGCCTCGTTGGCGAGCACCGAGACTTGGGGGGCGTCAAGGACCAAGACCGGCTCCTCCCACATAGGGATGCTGAAGCTGGCTTCGTCCTGCACACGAGCCCTGGCCAGGCAAGCTTTCCGCAGCAGTGACGAGGAGGCCAGCAGGACCTCGCGCAGGAAAGGGTCTGCCTCCTTGGTGGCTCGCTGCAGCTGCACCTTGGGCAGCTCCAGCGCGCCAGACTGCTCCACATCGACCCAGATGTCCTCAGGGAGCTTCGCCTGCCGAAGGACCGCGTGCGCCGCTTCACGAAGCTGCTGCAATGCCTTGGCGCGGGCCTGGCGTCGCCTCCCTGCTTCATTGAAAGAATAGCCGAGCTTGTGCACCAAAGGCACCAGCAAATAGGTGACCAGCCAGGAAAGCAAAACGGTGCCGAGCATGGCAAGCAAAGGCAGCACTAGGTAGTATATGCCCACAGCCACCCGGGCAGCCATTGGCCTCACTTGATCAAGTGACATCTCCTGTGCCTGGCATTGCACAGCCATCTCGATGGAGACAAGCGCAGGAGTCAACGACAAAGATTGGAACAGGCCCCGCATCGCCGTCGTCACCTCCACTGGCCAGCGAATCGGAACGCTCACCTCTTCCTCAGCCCAGTGGGATTCAATCTGGTCCAGGTCGAAGCTTCCGAGCACGGAGCACGTGGCCCACCACTGCGTGGCGATGCGTATCATGATGGTGTGGAGCTTGCTGCTGCCTCTCACAGAAGCAATGGCTGCCATGGCTGCAACCACGAAGTTGAGGACCACCTTTGGAGCGGCAAATAAAGCACACGTTAACTATCCAGACACTGTTCACTTCATCCGCCGAGGCCTCGGGTCGTAGGTGTTTAGGGTGTTAGAACAGGCACCTCCGTCCAAGCCCTCAGCCATGTGTCGGCCCCCTTTTTTGTGGACCCCCCCCCCCCCCCACCAGTCTCCCGCAGCCTACCCCCCTCCCTGCCCTTCCCCCCACCCCGACCCACCCCCCAAAGCCCGCCCTCCTTTTTTGCCCCAACACCCTCACTACTGCTGATTTTGGAGTTTACACTCGGTACACGTATCAAACTTCGTGAGTTACGACTGACAGGGAGCACCACCATGCGCCGATGTGAGGACGGGTGTTTGGGTAAAATTGGCACCTCACCTCTAATCCCCTAGAATGGTGTGTGGGAGCGGACGGTACAGGCCCCGCCTCCCCCACCCTCCCCCCTTAGCGTCGTGGGCAGGTCGGGCTGTGCGTGTTTGCAGCCCAAAGCCTGGAACCCATCTGGACCCCAGAACTCTCATAGGACCTGGCTTGGGGGTGATTACGGAATCCAAACGCTGAACCCCCTCTCCGGGATCTGCATTGGGCCAGGCCGAGGCGGGTCGTGTAGCGTTAGAACTACATTTCGCTCCATTAAATCCTGTTCGCACTCATACACGCTAACACCTGTGCTCACTCCTGTACAAACACACCTTCAAACCTTCCTGCCTTGCTTCCCACATCTGCAAAGACCGAGGTGATGAGGGAAAGCGTCGCAACATGCTGCGCGCATTCCTGGCAGGGAGCTCGGAAAGAGGTCCTGGCCCAACCTGGCAGGCACTCACCACAGAGCCAGCCCGTCGCGCTCTCGTCGCAACGGTTTCCATACTTGCCAACGCACTCTCCTGAGCCCCCTTGGCACAGGTCGCTACCCAGGCAGGCACTCAGGCCCCCATCCAGGACGACGCTACATTTGAAAGCTGTGAGCTCGGCCGTTTGGAAGAATCCCGGCCTGGCAACTGGCAGTCGATGCATGGAGGTTTGCTCGTGGAAGCCACCGGGGCAGCGCAGGTTTGTGAAGGTTGCACAGCTCGCACATCGTGCGAGAGACCCGGCCAAATCAAGGACAGCATGGAATTCCGGCTCGCAGAAGCAATCAGCAAAACTGGCAGACCCGTTCTTGCTCTGGGCACTTGTGGGGCACTGGAAAGGGCATGATTGGGAGTTGCCCTCTGCAGGCTTGTAGCGCCCGGGCTGGCAAGGCTCACAAGCGGATCCCGAGCTGTAGCGACCACTTTGACAAATGCAGTCCGATGGTCCACTGGCTCCTGCACCCGAAGTCGCCCCCTCCGGGCACCTGACAGCTTCGCCACCGCCGGGACAGAAGAAGCCGGGCTGGCAGTCTACACAAGCGCGTCCATCCGCAGCAAGGCCGCGCTGGCAGCCACACTCAAGCTCCGAGGTGGCTGCCTTTCCCGACGTGGTCTTGTCGGGTGGGCAGCTTGTGCACAAAGCGTTGCCCACTGTCGGCTTGTACTCGCCCTGGAGGCATGGCTGACACTCGCCCCCTGCAAAGCCATAGCCGGGACTGCACTCGCACTCCGCGGGGCCGAGCGGAACAATGCCGGGCGGCACAGAGTGGCCCGACGGGCATTCCAAGTCCACAGACGTCACCTGCAGCTCTGACACCTGAAGCACCAAGCCATCGCCCCGTGGATCTTCTTGGAGGGATGTCTGCACGTCCGACATCAAGGCGGCCAAGTCCAGGTCACTGCTGGCCAGCTCGGCCTCTGCCACAGTGCGGTACCTCAGGTCCACCGCAAACACGGCCGAAGACAAACGCCGCCCTGAGCCTGTGTTCAGGCGCACATGTGCGAACCGGACTTGCACAGCACCAGCAGGAAGCCGGGCTGCATTTGACAGCGCGATCAGAAGCACCTGCCGGAGAAACTCCTGAACTTCATCCTCGCCTGGTGCACCTGCATCCGGCACGTTCAGGACGGACACGTTCAGGGTCAGCGTAGGGACCTTGGTGGTGTTCGAGAAACCCCCGTCCAGTCCTTGGACTTGCAAGGAAGTCTCCGGAATGCAGGAGCTGTTGGACCTAGCACCGGCGCTGTGGGTCGTGAAGTTCTCCTGGCATGGGAAGCAGCTCCCTGGACCGGCGTCTGCCTTGTAGAAGCCCACGCTGCAGGCCTCACACGCCTGGGATTGCGCATCTCCAAAGCCGCGGTCGCAGACACACTCGCCGGCCGACACGGCTCCCACTGCCAGGGTCGTCTCGCCCGAGGAGCAGGGAAAGCGCTTTGCGGACTCTGCCACTCCACCTGCAGACAGCGCAGCACGATGTAACACTGCAACAAGCTCAAGAGCAATTACTGTTGCAAGAACAACACGAACAACTTTGGTGCTCGCGCGGCAAACATGCAACAAACGCAGACTTTTTGAGGCGGCCTGGACAGAAGTATCCTCGTGTGCATCGGCTGCAAGTAGCCAAGTGCTCATTGGTGAAGCTTCCGGGCGGGCATGCGGCCACCAGGAGCCCGGAAGGGGCGCCAAAGCGTCCAGACTGCTCACAGTGGGAGCCTCGTGCACACCAACAAAGCTGGTAGATGCCCGGGCGTGCATCGCTGGGCAAGGTCCCAAGGCTGGCTTCGAGATCCGAGCCCGAGCCTTCCCGTCGCTGCAGGGGCACGGCCTCGAGATGGAACGCCGAGCCTGACCCACAACCTGAGTCACCTGCACTGACCAGTAGGAGGTCCAGCAAGGCCAGGCCAATGCCGGGCAGGGCCACAGCACAGCTGCGGCCGATTGTGCAGAGGTGGCTCCTGGCAAAGGGCCCCTGCACCGTCATCAACCCCACCACGGCCTGCGCACAAACTGACCAATGGCGGGATATGGCGGACTGCAGTTTTCAACTTTGACGAGGTACTAGCGTAGAACAGCATACGATGATGTGCCAAATTGATGCAACGAGGGCCTGGCCTTGAAGTCGATTCCAGAGGTGCAATCGCCGCGGCAGTAGCACATCCGGTAGATGCCAGGTGCAGCGAGTAACACGCCGTCCTCCAGCGGAGAGAGTAAGAAGTCATAGCGTTCCGTGTCCTCGGCTCACAGCAAAAGAGGCCAACTGGTACTCCGCATGGCTTCGCGCACTTTACCTACCCACGTTAAACGTGTGCTGAACTAAACCTTTCGATGCTGACACATGCTGCCAATGAAGCTGCAAGCTTCTTTGATTGACAACTTATGCTCGGCAACCCCCCAAAAAAAGAATCTGTTCGAGGCGAGCATCATTTGTTTCCGCAATGCCACCACCAGGAAAGCCCGCAACAGACAAGCCATGGCCACAATCGCTCAGAATCATGATACGATCCCCCGGCTGCACCCCAACGCCCTCAGCATGCATTGAGCAGCGCTGCCCGATGGAGCAGCTGTCTTCCTGGTTTGTCCTGGGACCGACTATACGCAGCTGCCCTGCCGGCACCGCATACTCCTCAGGATGCACGCACGCCTGGCCACCTGTCTTGCCACACCAGCATAGCAAGTAGCCCTCACTGGCATCTGCGGTCAACCAGAAGTCCTCAGTCGAAGTGGACTTACCAAAGCTGAGAGCCAGGTCGCCTCCAGAATCTTGGAGCTGGCCGATGCCATCGGCAAGCAATCGAGACAGGGCCACACTCTGCTTTCCTCCGCACTGCACGCGGCGAGCCGCGACGCCATCTGAGGCCAGGAGGCCGTGGCCTAGAAAGGATCTCAGGGAATCACAGTCATCACCACGAACGCACTCGAAGTAGTTGTCTTGAATGGGCCCCACTACCGACAACTCCCCGGCCGTCAGCCAGAAGTTGAGGTTGATATCTGAGCAGCTAAGCTCAGCCATGCCTGCACACCAGCACAAGTTCACCGTGCCACCTTCTGGGGTGAAGTCCTGCAGCACGTCACCCCAAACGTATCGCTGACCATCTGCACTGGGATGCGAGAAGGCATTCTGAGAGACACCGGGCAAGGCAGTTTTTGACCCATCGCACGGCGAACGGCTCAGCACCATCCGATGCCCAGCCCGCAGCCCATAGCCCGAAAGCCCATCGACCTCGCACACCCTGCCCGAGACGCATGTGCGCCGATGGCCCACATCTGGACGTACGCAGCTGTCGAGGTCTCGGGCTCCTGCCGCCTCCGTGGTCGACCCAACCATGCAGGGGGCGCAAACATTCTCGACTGCCCCGGTGTCGTTGCTCCACGTGCCGACCATGCACTCCTCGCACGGCAAGTTTCCGGTGCCGCTCTTGAAGCGCCCAGCAGGGCAAACTTCACAAGCACCACCCAGCAGGAAGGCACCGGGAGCGCAAAGGCACTGGGCGCGGCTGCTGGCTGTCTCTGTTGCCGTGGTCTGAAATGCAGCACACGGCTCCCTGTGAAGGCCACCCGTGCAGAAGAAGCCGGCACCGCAAGCCTCGCAGATGGAAGGGCTGCCGGGCTGCGTATTCCAAAAGCCGCCCATGCAGAAGCAGGAGTCCAGCGCCGTCGCTCCCTCCTCCCGGGCAAATGGCAGGCTTCAATGCTTCACAGACCGTTGACATGCCAGCATACAACATCATACAACAGCGGCACTGCGTCTGCGTGGCACCATGGCATCTCATGACGTTACGCAACGCATGCAATGCCCAAGTAAGACCTGCCTCTGAGGTGGTGGAGCCGGCCGGGCATGCCTGGCAAGCCAGAGCTTCGGGACTCCAGAACCTGCCCGTGAAGCACTTGCAATCTGACAGCTGACCTCGGTCGCAAAATTAAGCTTTCGTGTCGCCGTCTTGCACGAATGACTTGAGGATGCACACGCTGGTATCTTCATGTGAAATATGCAACATGCTGAGGAGCTGACTGGAGCCTATTGAGGCTGTGCTGGCAGCAGGGCAGGCCAGCTGCGTGGCCTCCTGCCCCCCAGGACAGTAGTGTGCTTCCGTGCATAGCTGGCAGGCTGAATCAAGCTGGTAGCGTCCAGGTGGGCACACGATGTGTAAGTTCATGATGGTGGCACGGAACTCTGCATCCATCAGGCATTTGCCGGCAGGGCACCAGCAGAGCTCGATCGTCTCAGTCGAGCCTTCCAGCTCCACGTGCCCCAAGTCCAACATGAAAGAGCCCGTGGACTGGTTGAAGTTGACGGAGATCGCCCGCTGGCCAAACGTGTTTGACGGTTCTGGGTCGCCACAGCGCTTGCGAGCTATCACCCGGTCCGTCCTTGAGAGGCCATTTCCAGCGGCAGCGACGGTGCAGTAGCCCCCTAGAACACAATGCCCATCTTCATTGGGATAAGGCCCTTCGGCAATGAAGTAGCCAAGGGTGGAGTCAAAATCTGCGGATTGGTTGCACAGCTCATGCAAGGAACAAGCGCACAGCCTGTACTCACCTGCTGGAATTGCAAGGTACGAGGACGAGGAGGATGGAAAGAAAAACTGCTGGCCATCCAGGCTCTCCAGAAGTGCGGATTGCGCCAGTGCAGTGCTTGCCACGCTAGCCTCTTCAATGCTTGTCCGTGAACATGTCTGCTGGACAGACAAACGAGACACAGAGCTGTTCAGGTCCAGCTGCAACATGCACTCTTGCCCCAGCTGGCATTTCGCAACAAGAGGCGGCTCTGCTGGTGAGCGGATGTATCTCCAAACATCACGTACGTAAGATGCGTTGTAGCCACCAAAGACTAGCAGTCCGCCAGAGTTGGCATCAAAAACGGCTGAGGAGTCAACGCGGCCAGACGGCCCAGGCGCTGGTAGCTCTGTCCAGGTGCCATGAAGCGGGCTGTAGCTATGCAAGCTGCTGCTGTAGCTGAACTCCCCAGTCAGGTTCTGAACGCCCGCAAACACCATCATGGACATGGAGTTGGTGTCCCACACCGCTGCATGTCCCGCTCTTGGCCATGGTCCCCCCAGCGCAGGCAACTCGGTCCATTGATCTGCCCACCAGTCATAGCGGTGCAGGTCCTGCACGGGCACACAAACATCAGTTTTCTGTGCCCACCTTGGCTGGCGACTTGTGCGTGTCTGCACTTAAATACTCATCGCCTCGGCTTCCTGCCGAGAAGCGCCTGGAACAAGCAGACCCGGATCCAATCTCCTGCCCCATGCTGACGCCAACCCTCTAAAACCCCTTGCACGCCCTGCATTGGACCCCTGTCCAACCCCTCAAACCTTCATAAAGCCTTCTCCCCCTCTTTGTCAGCTTCCTGCCGATAAGCGTATTTTGTGCCTGCTCCACCAACCCTTCCGCCCACTGGGATGCCCCTGTGGGACGGGACCCCCGCTACAGAGCTCTGGGCCGGCCCGGCTGCCGAGGCGGCGCGCGAAAGCGTTTACTTCTCACACGAAGCAAGGGCAGGGTGTCTGTGGGTTTGCTGCCATTTGCTGCCCCGCCATGGCCTGCAAGTACTCAGCACCACTCCAGCCAGCAAAAACCAGCATGGACATCGTGATGGGATCCCAAACAGCAGTGTGCCTCTCAGGATGTACTTGGAGCAGCATAACCTTAAGTAACTTAAGACCTAAACACGATCATGGGGCAGAATTCCAAAATGCCTGCTCCGCGCTCGGGGGTGGCTCGCAGAGGACTCGCTCCAGTAGTTGGCGGTGAGGCTGTACCGGTGCAGGTCCCCCAGTACGTGGCCGGCCCCCTCACCCGCAAACACCAGCATAGCTCGGTTCATGGCGTCCCAGACCACCGAATGGTCTGCTCGGGGCAACGGCGAGCTTGGAGGCGAGAGGTACTGCCAGGAGTCAGTCTGCACAAAGAACTGGTACAGGTCGTTGTACATCGTGCTCAGGTGCCTCCCAGCAAAGACCAGCATGGACTGAGATGCTGCATCCCAGACAGCTGAATGGCCTGATCTGATTGGGCCATTGGAGGAGACTTGGCTCCAGAGTCGTGAGGCCCAGTCGAAACGCCACACATCCCCAAAGTAAAGGAAGTTGCTGCTCGCATGGCCACCGAAGAGGAGCGCCGACTGCGTCTCGGCATCCCAAACCGTCGTGTGATCCTGGCGGCCTGCTGGTCCCGGCACGGTGTTGTCCGTGTAGTCGTTCCATGCATCCAAGTCGCACTGAACACCTGCAACGTGGACAATGCGGGCACCGGACATGAACAAAGGAAAAAAGGTGGGGCAGATGGATGCTTTTTGGCAGCCCCAACCTGCTGCTTCCTTGGCAGAGCAGTCATGGACCCTCCAGCCTCTGAAGGTGCACTCGCGGATGCTACGGCGAGCGTCTGCGCAGTTGATGTTGTCTATGAAGACTTTGCCAACTTTGCCGTTACCTTGAAAAAACCTCGTCTGGCCCCCGGCCATTCCAAGGTCCTTACAGACCATCACAGCCGCTTTCGCGTCCCAGCCATCGTCACAAATGAGGCCCCAGGAGCCGCTGTACAGGACCTCAACCCAGCCGTATCCACCACCGCCGACCAAACGAAGACCCTCTAATCCAGAGCCAATCTTTTGGGAAAAGTGCAGGGCAGGGAGCAAATCGTCCATTTCTGACGGTTCATCACCCACATTCTCAGAACTGCCGGTGCCCAGCTGCCCATTACTGCCGTCGCCCCAGCAACGGGTCGTATCATCACTCAGCAAAGCACATGTGTGATATGCCCCTGCTACCACCTGCTGGGGATTCAGGCCTGCGAAATTGAGCCAGTGCAAGCTGGAGCCCATCTCGCCAGCCTCGTCACCGATGGTGTCCTGGCGTCCGTGCCCCAACTGCCCTTGCTGCCCAAAGCCCCAGCACGTCAAGGACTCTCCCCACAGAGCTCCACGGCGCACAAGCGCGCATGTGTGATAAAGGCCTGTGATGATACGGTGGACCGTCACATCACCAAGCTGGATTGAAGGCAAGTTGATTCCCATTTGATTCGGCGCTTCGCCTATGTCCTCTGTGCTGCCTTGACCCAGCTGGCCATGGAAGCCATAGCCCCAGCACTTCGCAGAGCCGTCCTGGACTTGTACAGCTGCTCTAATTTTGTTTCTTGGAGTTTGTAGAATCTAGATCACGCGCTTACTAACTCCCATGCAGAATACATGAGCGTGTGTGGGCTAACCGACTCGCATGACTCGGCAAGCAAGACGCAACTTCATCGTTTGCGACATGGACTTGCAGTTTTCTGAATGCTCTCACAACCTCGTGGGGTAAAGCGTAGGGAATGCATGAACGAAGTTGGTGCCATCCTCAGAAGCAGGACGGCTGTCTCATGAACGAAGAGCATGAGTATTATGTCGCGACCGAACGGAAAGAACATTAAACTTTTCGGCTCTTATTGTTCTCTTCTGAATACGAAGACAACGTAGTGAGCGCACTAGTTTTGCATTTACAAATGCGTCACAGAACCGCGTGAACTATGATGTCTTCATAACCAAGTAATATCTGATGATCAAAAGGCTGCAAGGCTTGAAAGAAATATTGTAACTAATTACAGACTTCACCAAAACCGACTGAGATCACATGGCTCAAGACATTGTCCATGACGAGTCCTCGAGGACTGCGCAGGCATGCCAGTCGCCCATGGCAATCTGCGTGGCCTTTTGTCCGAGATCGATGACTGGAAGGTTCTCGCCCATCTCATTAGGGCCATCTCCGAGAGCTTCGCTTGTGCCCCAGCCAAGTGGGCTTCCCCAACACTTGATCTCACCTGCCTGTGACAAAGCACAGGTCGCTGCACCTCCAGCTGCAAGCTCGGCCACCGCGAAATGGGCTCCGAGGTCCACGGAGGGGAGGGCAGTGCCCATCTGGGACGACATTCGACCACGAGAGTCAGCATCGCCGAGGCCCAATTGGCCAAAGTCATTGCCCCCCCAACACTTGGTCGTTCCATCCTGAAATAGAGCACAGCTGTGTTCTCCTCCGCAAGCCACCTTCACAGCATGCTTGGGTTGGCTTCCGTTGCTTCCAAGGTCCAGCACAGGGAGCGCATCACCCATTTCCCCAGGCCGATCACCGAAGTCCGCATTCCAGGATCTTCCATTGCCAAGTTGGCCGCGATGTCCATGGCCCCAGCACTTAACAGCTCCTGCGCGCAGCAGAGCGCAGCTGTGCCAGTGTCCCGATGCAACTTGCAGCACGTCTCCACCGACGTCGACGACTGGGAGGTTCTCGCCCATTTCTGCAGGGCCGTCGCCCCGGCTCTCCTCGTCACCCAGTCCAAGCCTTCCATACTCTCCCGCACCCCAACACTTGAGCAGGCCAGAGGATGTGAGAACACAGGTGTGAAAGCCGCCAGCAGTTAAAGTGAGACCGGCTTCTGGCTGGGAGTCTTGGATGTCTTGGGAGTTTGGGGAGTCTGGCAGCCAGTGAATCACCTCGTCGACTGCGACGTCTGACATCCAACTCGTGGCCTGAGTGCTGACAAAGCGCAAAGCTTCAGCATCGCTTGGGATGGACAGCTTCTGCTGCAACCACAGATCGCCCTGGGAACCTTGCTTGGACCACCGTGTCCGCCATTGACCTGCGTGGAAGAACTGCAGTTCCAGGTTGCCAACTCCAGATCCCAACATGTGATAGGCAAATTCCATGTAAGTCTCGGCGAAGGTCGCTGGGAACCAGGGCGTGGTCACAGTTGGATCCAGCCAGTGCTGGTCATGGCCTTCGACAAAAATGTACCACTGGCCGCGGAAAGCGGAATCGGGGCCTGTAGCTACAGTTGCTGTCGAGCCGGAACGGCGCTCCCAGTCGGACCGCTCTTGCCCCCCAGGCAGCCAGCTGCACAGGTCCGCCTCAAAGCTGCAGCTTGTCGCATCCTTCCAGATGCGCAAGGAGTCCAGGCTCACAGCATCCTCTGAGGTCAAGTTGGCCTGGAACCGGAGAGCGGTGCTGCCCGCGGGAATGCTGACGATGGCCTCACGCCAGTCTGAGCCTTGGCCTCCCGTCTTCGCAAAGAGTTGCACCCAGTCGTTGGATGCGGTCTTGTACTGCAGCTCAAGCGCAGCAGCGGGCGAGCCAATGACCTGGTAGGCAAAGGCAAGGGCGTGCTCACCAGCAGTCATGTAGTGCGAGCTCTCCAAAACGAACTGGCTCTCTTTGCCCTCTGATGTGTTGGAAGCCCACAGGTGGGACTTGCCGTTCTCGACCTCATGCTGCCCCGACGCGTTGGCATCCACAACATGCTGCCAGGTAGAGCCAGGGAGCGCAGAAAACCAGTTGCAGGAGTCGAACTCGAAATCGCAGGTCAAATCCATGAAATCCACAGGCCCCGTCCTTACGTCATCAACAGCCATGAGCCTGTCACCGGGATTGCCGGTGCTTCCGACGAATCGCACTGCAATGGTGCTGGCCGGTAAGCGCGTGGAAACACGCTGCCAGCCACGCCTGCTGGACCGTGACCACGAAGTCACCCAACTCGCTCCATCAAAGAACTGCAGCTTCAATTCGTCTACGGCATCCTCGGACATCCAGTATGCAAAGCTCCACTGCAAGCTTGTCCCGGCAATGGGAATCGCGGGGCTCGTCAAGCTGAAGTCCTGCACGCGTGCCAGCTGCTCTTCTGGGGTCAGGACGTACGCTTTTGGGGAAGGCTTCGTGCTGGCGCTGGCTGACGTGCTGCTCACGAGTGGAGAGTTTGGATTCATCAACGGAACTGTGGGCATGCCCCGTTTCCGGCCCGCGAGAGTTTTTACACATCGCATGACAGCATTCTCAATAGTTCGGGAGCTTGGTGAGCCGTGCACTTGATGACTAGCCGTCCCTCCCGGGTCTTGATTTTGGGGAAGCCACACTGTCGGCAAGTCCAGATATACGTGAGCACCACGACAACAAGTCAACCCGGCACCCCTTCAACATCTTCAACATTGGACTTTTGGGGGGGTTCGTACAGTACAGCAGTGTCGAACGTGACAATGCGTCCCAGCCTCCAGGAAAATGCCGAACTCCCCATCAGCAAAGCGCTGAGGCAAAGAAGTGAGCAGCTCAACAGGGCGGCGCATCTGAGCCTGAACATGCTAGTCATTACGAGTCCCTAGACTCGAAACCGCTTGCTAGTTCATGACCTGCCTCGTCCCCGCTGACCACCCAGCCACAGAGGTCTGCCTCGAAGCTGCAGCTGATGTTCTCGAGGCCCGAGGCCACATTCATCACAACGAAGGAGTCCAGGCTCACAGCATCCTCCGAGGTCAAGTTGGCCTGGAACCGGAGAGCGGTGCTGCCCGCGGGAATGCTGACGATGGCCTCACGCCAGTCTGAGCCTTGGCCTCCCGTCTTCGCAAAGAGTTGCACCCAGTCGTTGGATGCGGTCTTGTACTGCAGCTCAAGCGCAGCAGCGGGCGAGCCAATGACCTGGTAGGCAAAGGCAAGGGCGTGCTCACCAGCAGTCATGTAGTGCGAGCTCTCCAAAACGAACTGGCTCTCTTTGCCCTCTGATGTGTTGGAAGCCCACAGGTGGGACTTGCCGTTCTCGACCTCATGCTGCCCCGACGCGTTGGCATCCACAACATGCTGCCAGGTAGAGCCAGGGAGCGCAGAAAACCAGTTGCAGGAGTCGAACTCGAAATCGCAGGTCAAATCCATGAAATCCACAGGCCCCGTCCTTACGTCATCAACAGCCATGAGCCTGTCACCGGGATTGCCGGTGCTTCCGACGAATCGCACTGCAATGGTGCTGGCCGGTAAGCGCGTGGAAACACGCTGCCAGCCACGGCTGCTGGACCGTGACCACGAAGTCACCCAACTCGCTCCATCAAAGAACTGCAGCTTCAATTCGTCTACGGCATCCTCGGACATCCAGTATGCAAAGCTCCACTGCAAGCTCGTCCCGGCAATGGGAATCGCGGGGCTCGTCAAGCTGAAGTCCTGCACGCGTGCGAGCTGCTCTTCTGGGGTCAGAACGTACGCTTTTGGGGAAGGCTTCCGTGCATGTCTAATTCGTGAATGGAAAATCATGGTGCGATGCATGTCTAGAAAGCACGTGCTACGTTGTGCGCGGCAGTGCCAGCAAAGTTCATGCCTCATTTCTCGGGTTTAATACTGGTCGACTCTACTCCTCAAAGCCTTAACCTGGGCCCTAGCCATGTCATGAAATGTCACGATTCTGGTCGCCTGCGTGCTTCGCGGTTCTGGACTGGACTTGCAGTTCTGGGTGTGGTTTGGCTGCGGGCGAACTTTCAGGCTGTTTATGTTTTGCAAACTTGGTGGCGGCTGCTAGCTTGTCGAGACCTATTGTATATAATTGTATAGGATCTACTTGCAAGATACAGTGTACAATTGCCTTCATGTAGCGACAAAATCCAATCTCTGCGCGAACTCTGCTGCAGGGTCAACGGCCCCCCGGCCCCTGACCTTCCAACAGGGGAGGTGCTCCACAAACGCAGACTAAGGAACCATGCTACGTGTGCAGCGACGACGACGTCCGTGCTTTGTCAGATTCCAAAAGGCTCCAAGTCAGGCGACGCCAACAGGCGTGAAAATGTTGCAACTACGCTGTGTATGTGGTCTCGCCCGGGCGAACGGACCAAACAGGCAAAGTTGAGCTTGCTTCCGCATGCCCGACGTAGACAGTTGCAGAAATGCATGAAATGCAGGTTCCGTATTGCGAGGCTTCTTGTGTACTTCTAGTTGACCTGCAGTACTGATTGTTTATGTACTGATGCGTGGCCACCCTCTACTCCAGAGGTGTCCTGGTTCACGAACCTCGTGCCGATCTCCAAGAACATGTAGGCAACATCCTCAGATGCTTCTGGACCATGAAAATCCTCGTTACCAGAACGGCCGCGCCATTCACTGCTGCGCAGCCAACTGTTGAAAGTGTAGGTCGGCTGTTGCGTGACGGATGTCGAGTGCACCTTCACCACGCGGCGAAGATGAGGGCTCTGCTTTTTACAACCCAGGGTGGTCATAGATTTTGTCCGGTGGGCTCGTAAGTACTTTGCTGCGTGAGGAGAAGGGAAGCACAATTAGGCCGGCAATGGAGCGCAGCATGGGCTCCTTGCTAGCCCCTCCCCCCTCTTCATTTTCCACCGCCCACACCGCCCCCAGTGCCTTCATACCGGCCACCCCCGCGGCCCGCCCGGCGTGCTGCGGCGCCCCTCGGCGCCCCCCCCCCCTTCTGCTTTTCATCGCCCGTCCACCGCCAGCACCACCCCCCCCCCCCCCCGCCCCCGTCTCTGTTGGCTAATGTACTATTGCCGCCGCCAACCCCGCCCCCACCGCCCCCGCCGCTCCCACTCCCCCCCTTTGTTGACAAGCGTGCTCCCCTTGTGCTTTTCATCGCCCTTACCACCCCCAGTGCCCACACCACGTTCTGCTTGCCTTTGTCGATTCCTTTGTTGAATAATGTTCTCTTGCTGCCCCAGCACGACCACCCGCCAACCCCGCCCATACCGCCCCCAGGATAGGATGAGCTTCCTTCCCCCCCCCCCCCCACCCACCCTCCCGCCGCTGCAGGAAAGCTACTAATTAAAGAACTCAATTGCTGATGAAACACATACAGACCCCTGTCTTGAAAACATGGCATTCTCCCACCCCAGCACAAACCAGCGGTAGCATGTACGCTTCAAACATCCCTATCATGGATTAAACGGTCCTCCACGGCCTCACGGCGACGGGCTGTTTAGCAGGGAAACACTTGGGAAGTTGTCGGGACGCAATAATAATCAAAAGCCCTCGTTCTAGCAAGCTAGCGAAGATATATTTGCTCGCAGTATTCCCGTTTCCCTTGGACGTACACCAAACGAATGTTTCCTGTCCCTCTCTTCCTTGAGAGTTTTGCATCTTACTACTCCATTGATGGATTTCGTTTTAGTTGCATGTCCACAGGAGAACAGCCCACAAATTTGTGGGGGGGGTTCGGCAATTCCTCATGGATATAGGCCCAATCCTTCTCGAAACTAAAAACGGCCTTGCCGGTGCTTCCTTGTATTACGTGGATCTTGGGAATACTGATTATCACTGGAAATTACATTCAACAAGCAAATTCTCCTTGGCCAGCCCTGTCCGGAGGATGCACATTACATGCGAGACAAGCCCCTACAATATAGACATTTCCCCCATGGAAGGCTAACCGTTTTGAATTGGCCTCAGTTCCGAAGCCCAAGACTTCTCAAAAGCAAACATTAAGTTTCCATGTCATATGAGCCATGGTTTTTATGTCATGGTGTTTTCAATGGAAATATATTTCCTTCCGCGGAACCCTTCCGCGGACCTTCCGCGCCTCGAAAGGTAGCTTCCGCGGGGCATGTTGCCTCCCATCCAAACACCATTGCGCTAGACGAGGTTTGCGGGGCTGCTGGGTAGGTGGTTGTTACTTGGGTTCGTGGTACTTTTGGAGCGTAGCCCAAAGGCCTAAACCCTAAACCGCCCAGGCGCCAGGGACCGATGCTCAGCAGCTGTTTGGGGTTGAAAGGTTCATAGGTTATGCTTAAGACGGAGCTTCCGCGAGCTTCCGCGGGAAGATGCTTCCGCCAAACCTTCCGCGTGCTTCCGCGGCCACAGCGCGGAGCTCATTCTGAGCACAAACCCAGAATAGATTTCCGTACTAAAGTAACTTTCAAGAAGCGCCTAAAAAAACCGCAGCTCATATGTTTAGCAGGAATATTTTCTACTCCGCAAATGTACCATGGCAACTTAACATAAAGGCAAACGCAATCAAAACGTTTCCTACAAGACAACTCGGAGGTCATACCGATGAAGCTTCATGAAGGATTTAACACATACTCATAATGTAGACTAAATGCCTGAAGATAGTAAGGCAAAAGCGAGTCACGCTATAAGCGTTGATAGCGAAGCAGCAAACCATGTTTTTTCCGCTCTGAGCGCTATCGAAAAGACTGCTAATGGTAGATGGAATTAACTTGCTGACCAGATGTACTGCCGGCCCCAATGCCAGGTAAGAAAGAACAAAAAGTACCACATCTGCGTCGCCTGCTTCCTGAACAAAGTGTCTTCGCGATGCACACGGGCCTCTTTGGCCATTCCAGTTTCGTCTTCCTGTCTTTTAGCCGCTAAACGTTCGCTTTTGTAGACAAGCAACCCAAACGGCCAAGCGTAGTAGCGAGCCACTGGTCGAGAAGGGCGGCGCCATTTCTGACACAACATAATCTTCTTACAAACAAATGCACGCAATGGAGCCGAAACGCTTGAATCACGGCTCGTTTGCATACAGAACTCTACGTGATGTTTTAACCAGCAATGAGCGTCCTTCCTTTCGTTGTTTGTTTCTCCTTTGTGTCTTCTCTGTCGGCAAATATTTTGTTACTATTTCTGTGCTTCTTTCTTTCCTTCTTTCTTTCTGTCAATCTTTCTTCCCCCCCCCCCTGGCTGCCAAGATAGGGGCTTTGCTAGTAAAACATGTAGGGTACATGAAGGATCCCCGTTTCCAATTTTAAATAGAGAGGAGATGATGAAAACCCCCCCCCCCGCCCAAAAAGAAATTCAGAGAAGAGGGTGGCAAAAATGTGCCTTTAGATCAAGATATTATGTTTCTTTGCTTTTTCTTCAGAGAATAATCTTCATGTGAGACATAGTCGTCTTGGGGAGAGGTTACCGTGCATAAAAAAAAGAGAGAGGGAGTGTGTGTGTGTGTGTGTGTGCGCGTGTGTGTGCATGTGGGTATTTCTATATGTATATATAACTATGCTTTGCATACGGATAGGTTGATGCACAGCCTCGTGCCCGCTGACCGCCCAGCCACAGAGGT